ACTTGATTTGTAACAGAAGTAGGAAAATTTCGATTGTTTGACTGACACTTTAATTAAAATTTAAAAAATATTTTAAATCAAAAACGGTACTTGAAGGTTATCACAAACCAGTTTTTGCGGGCATATTTATGCGGAAGAATGCTTCATTGAAGAATGCCACAAAGAAAATTAAGTGAAATCAAGAAGGACAAACCTTTGACCTTTCCGTACACAAATGTCCGCATAAATTTGTCCGCAAAAACTGGTTTGGGATACCCACAAGTACATAAAAAACTCACCGTTGTTAAAGTAAATAGTAAAAGAATTGACAATATCCTAAAAGAAATAATAGAGCCTTCAAAGAATGCCAGCATCTAAACTAGTCTAAAAAATAAAATAAAAAAATTTTTGGATATAGTGTAGTGTACCGGTGGTAAAAGTTCGGGATGTGACATATGTCATTCGATTCGTCTCGACGAGCTGAGTCGAATGGTACCACTCCCCACTTTAGGAAATGATTTTGGACCGAGTTATAGTTCCCGAAAAATCGAAAAACCAAAGGGGGGACCAAGCACTTTTTTGGTGTGAAAAATTCGAAAATACAAATTATACCTCATTCGAAAGAGCTCGTCGAGCTGAGTCGAATGACACCAAAATCAGCTTGATTGAACAAGATTAGACAAAGTTACGATGCAAAAAACAAAAAACCTAACCCTATGGAGCGTCAGCGAGGCGCTTGTGCAAAACCCCGCGCTTCGCGCGGGGTTTTGCGGCACGCGCCTCGCGGAGAGTCTACGGGCGCTGGGTCTGGGCTCGTAACATAAACCTATTCCTATCTCCCTTGCTCTGGACGTATTTGGGGCCTCCGCAGCAGCAAAAGTCTCCACAGATGCCATAGGTAAGGAGCTAAAACAAACTGTCATAACTTTGTCAAATCAAGTCGGATTTCGTTGATTTTGGTGTCATTCGACTCAGCTCGACGAGCTCTTTCGAATGAGGTATAATTTGCATTTTCGAATTTTTCACCCCAAAAAAGTGCTTGGTCCCCCCTTTGGTTTTTCGATTTTTCGGGGCCTATAACTCGGTCCAGAATTATTTCCTAAAGTAGGGAGTGGTACCGTTCTACTCAGCTCGTCGAGACGAATCGAATGACATATGTCACGTCCCGAACTTTTACCACCGGTACACTACACTACAGCCAAATTTTTTAAAGTATTAAAAATTTACAAAGTTCAGTAATGAAAAGGCGCTTCAAACCATTAAGAAAAAAATATTGTTAAGTTTCCCAGTTGTTGGCTAAAGCGTTCAAAATTTAATTAATTGCACTAAAAATAAAATTAAAAAATTAGCAATAAATCTCTTCTAAAGCGCAACTAAATATAACGTCAAATAAATAAGTAATCCGGAAGTTAAGGTTTATAACTGGAAAAGAAAATTCTTTAAGCGCAAAATGGTGGACAAGAGCAATGACCAAAACAAATCAATAAAAATGCGGTAATAAATTTCCTCCTCTTTTAATGGCGAGATGGGTGCAGTTTTTATGGTTATGTACAGATGGACAGCATCCGAATGGGATCTTTTTCCGTTATCATATACTAATTGTAAATCTTAATTATTTTTTCTCTTTTTGTCTTCGATTAATAAAATGTTGTAAATATAAGTAGCTTAGATTAAATTAATTAGAGGGACCATTTAATTTAAAAAGACCACCATTTCCGGAAACCAGAAGGAGAGAAACATCTTCCACCCCACCGTATTTCTGAAACAAAGCCTGACCATTTTAGACCCAGTAAACAAATTTTCCAAATATTCAGATTCCGATCCACAAATTTCGAGTTGTACAAAAGACCGGTGCAAAAAAGACCGGAACTGCCACGTAACAGGCAAAAAAAGACAGGAACCGGTCTTTTAACCCTTTTTGGCCGTTCCGGCCTTTTTTTGCACCGGTCTTTTGTACATACACGAGATTAAATTTTTGGCATTCTGTCAAAAAAATTTTTTTATAAAAAGTTTTTTTGGCCGGAGCAGTTCAACTGAGTCCGCACGATTGAGTCCTCACGATTGAGTCCGCACGATTGAGTCCCCACGATTGAGTCCCGGCACAATTGAGTCCCCACGATTGAGTCCGCACGATTGAGTCCCCGTTGTATATACCTCAATTGAGTCCCCGTGGATTTGATTTAAGAAAAAAGAGTAATTAAAGAATAAAATTGTAATATTATAATAATCTATTATTTCAAACAGGATGGCGGATATTTTAACTGAACGTGGAAAGCCTAAACTTGTTCATGATGGATTTTTATTTGTGTTTCATAAAATGAACAAGGACGAAGACATCAAGTTTTGGAGAAAAATATTAGTGAACTTGAAATCCGCAAAATATTAATGAACTTGAAATCCCTGATCGGTACCAAAATTATCAAAGGACAGACGAACTTTACGACCAATTTCTTCTAGCTGATTCTGGCGTTTATACTGAAAATAATGATCCAAGACAACATAGGTTTATTTTCTTTTTTATTTTTTTAATAGATTATTTTTTAGAATCCTCATATTTGGTCGTATGTCATCTGGGGAGTGGTCAGAACAAATGGAACATGTTTTTGTTGATGGGAGCTTTAGCGTTACTCCCCCTTTATTCTATCAAATTTTTTGTGTGCTTGCAAGGTTGGTTGATGTTAGTTTGCTGTAGAAAAAACAGTCGGAATTAGGAAAGGGTGGGGACTGGTTTTTCTATTTTAATTTCTATTTTAATTTATTTTTTCTATTTTTAATTTAGAAAACGGAAGTGGGTGTTCCCTGTGCTCTATGGGTTGCTGACGAATAAAACAAAATCGACATATGCTCGCTTTTTTCGACTCGTCAAAGAAATTTGGCCGCAGTTCAACCCACGTGTTTTCTCAACAGACTACGAACCTGGCCGGTTGTCTGGTCTGTTCCACCTGGTTAGGAATCTTAAAAAAGCAATTTGCGATGCTAATTTAATGCAGGTTGTTTTTTATTCCCATTTTCATTTGTACTCCTATTTTTCAGCGTTATAAAAATGATCCTTTGTTTGCCGCTGATGCCAAATTAATTACTTCAATAGCTTTCCTGCCTATCTGTGATATATCTTTGGCAATCATTGCTTTAGAGACCTATCTCCCACTTGAATTACAACCTGTTCTTGACTGGTTTGTCATGTATTTTAATTTTTATTTAACGTTCAGGTTTATTAAAAATTATACTGGCCGTTTGCGTATGGATGGTATGCGAAACCAACCGAGGTTTGATCCAGCAATCATGCGTTGGTCCAAACGTATCAGGCCGCAAATCCAAATTTTGATCACAATTATCAATTTCCAGTTGCTTATCCTATTCACCCAATTATTGATTTTTTAAGAGGTGTTTCTCATAACTATAATATGGATCCTTGAATTTTTATTTATTTGAGAATTTTGTTTTAAAATTAGTGATTATTGTTTATTAGATTGAATAAAGATTTTTGATAATTTTGATAAAATTTTTAATTGTGGGATTTTACAAAATATCCCGCAACATTTTTGAAATAATCACGCATGGGGGATTTGGAATTTTTTAAAAAATTTTTAAATTAAATCCACGGGGACTCAATTGAGGTATATACAACGGGGACTCAATCGTGCGGACTCAATCGTGGGGACTCAATTGTGCCGGGACTCAATCGTGGGGACTCAATCGTGAGGACTCAATCGTGCGGACTCAATTGAGGTGTACCGTTTTTTGGCTCCCATACAAAATACCGAATTCTTAAAATATGGAATCTCAAAATCGCGAATCGGCTAAAAAAGCTCAAAATATGGAATCTCAAAATATCGAATCTCAAAATATGGAATAGGCAAAAAAAGCTCAAAATATCGAAAAATATCGACAATGCGGCAAAGGCCAGTTGAGTCTGAACAAAGTTGTGACCAACTTCTTCGTAAAAAAATTTTAAAAATAAGAGAAAGTATTTTTCTAAGGTAAAAAAATGTGCTGATTACGAATCTCAGCTCGGATTTTGAAAAAGTCGAATCCCGGACCCGAACCGAATTTCGAATCCCGAACCGAATTTCGAGTTTCCGAATGATAGCTCATCTGAAAGAGCACGTCGAGCTGCATCGAATGATACCAAAATCAATGAAATCCGACCTGATTGGACTGAGTTACAGATCCCTGAATAATCAGAAAAAGACCTGCAGCGGCACTCAAACGGCCCTTTTCGTTTTTAAAAAATTCGACATTTTTAACTACTTTTTAGCCGATTCGGTATTTTGAGCTTTTTTGGCCGATTCGCGATTTTGAGATTCGATATTTTAAGATTCCATATTTTGAGCTTTTTTGGCCGATTCCATATTTTGAGATATTTTTACCGATTCGCGATTTTGAGCTTTTTTAGCCTATTCGCGATTTTGAGAATTCGGTATTTTGTGCGGGCACGGTTTTTTTTCCTATCGTATTTTTTTGTTAAGCCTGTTGTGCTTATTATAGAGGACCTTTGAAAATAAAAGTTTTTGTACTATTATTTCCCCAGCACTTAACTCTCCCTTTACTACAATGAATCGCGAAAATTTGTTACACCGATCACAAAGCCAACAGCAAAACGGTAATTGGCGTCAACAGCAAAACGGTAACTGGCGGCAACAGAACGGTAATTGGCGGCAGCCGCAAGACAGTGGTAATTGGCGGCAACAAGGAGCGCCACAACAAGGAGCACAAGGAGCAGCACAATCTTGGGAAGAAAGGGGACCTCCGGATCCTCGAATTGAAGCTGAATTGTTTGTTAAAATTATTTTTTTGTTCCTTTGAATCTTCCTCTTTTTAGGTTTTCTGGGCAGAATACTGGAATCAATTTTGATAAGTACGAAGAGATTCCTGTTGAGGCGACTGGTATCAATTGTCCACAACCTATTCAAACTGTGAGATACTTAATAAAGATTTAATTGTCTTATTTCTTTCACAGTTTACTGATCAAAGTCTAAGCCTGCATCCTTGGATTGAAGAAAATATTAGAAAGTGTGGATATGATCGACCAACTCCTGTTCAGGTTTTTTCTTTTAAAAGAACTTTTTTCAATCATATTTAGAAGTATTCTATTCCAACTTTGAGCTCTCGTCGTGATTTAATGTCTTGTGCGCAAACTGGATCTGGAAAGTTTGTTTAACTTTCTTTTTCTAGAATAATTTTGTAGAACTGCTGCATTTCTTCTTCCAGTCATAAATTCAATTCTTCGAGATGGACCTTCAAAAGTTAAACCGGTTGTTTTTTCTTTTTAATTTTCCTAATAAATTTATATAGAAAACCATTGAAAATAAAAGTTTCCGTACCTGTCAATATCCTTTGGCTTTAATTATTTCTCCAACACGTGAACTTTCTCTTCAAATCTACAATGAATCGCGAAAGTTTTCGTATCGTACGCCGATCACTTCTGCCCTGTTGTATGGAGGGCGGGAGAACTATCGTGACCAAATCAACAAATTACGGGTCAATAATACATTTCATTATCCCCACGCACATTTTTAACTAACTAATAGATATAATGGGCAGGGCAACCTAACGTTTATTTTTTGACATTGAAAGCGCATAATATTACGAGTTTCGGCGTAGGCGAAATATAATGATCGGAAGCCCATGTTAGGTTTTTCGGTACTGTGTTTTGAACCTGTCTAGCGATTTATTGATTTTGTTATAAGCAAATAAATACGGGAAAACATGCAAACGTTGGCTCATTTGAACGAGTCGAGTGGAATTAAACTAATTGATATTTCTAACAAACCTTCTCTCAATACTTGTCACAATTTTGTCCAGCTAATTCGTCTTTACATTTCGTTCGACACAGCAGCCCCTTCAAATGATTTTTACAGATTTTTCGATTTTTATAATAAATACCATCTGATTAGTTAAAAATGTGCGGGCGGGTAATGCGAGTTACCTAATTTTGTTTTAATTTTTGGCTATTTTAGTTAGGTTGTCACATTTTAATTGCTACACCAGGTCGTTTAATTGATGTTATGCAAAATGGCTATATAGCTTTGACTTCTTGTCATTATCTTGTTTTAGATGAAGCTGATCGTATGTTAGGTTTGTTTTCGATCATTAAAAGTTATTTTTTGTATATATTAAGATATGGGGTTTGAGCCCCAAATTCGTCAAATTGTTCAAGCTTCAAACATGCCAGTTAAAGGGGAACGAATTACAGGTTTAATAACTTTAGTACTTTTCATTCATAAATGATTTTTGAAGCAATGTTTTCTGCCACCTTCCCAAAGGAAATACAAGTTTTAGCTCAGGATTTTCTAATGCCTGATTATGTAAATTTTCAAATATTTAAAATTAATTTTAAATTTTTAGGTGTTTCTTGCTGTTGGACGTGTTGGTTCAACATCTGAAAATATTCGTCAGAACGGTTTTTAGTGTAATTATATCTCCCAATATTTTTTTATTTAATAGTTCTTTGGGTCGAGGAACATAACAAAAAACACCTTTTGGCCGGTATTTTATTTGAATTTTTCCTAAAAAATATTTTTTGATTAATTTTAGATTTGTTGGATGGCAGTGAACCTGATGCTTTGACTCTAATTTTTGTTGAAACAAAGCGTGGATGTAGCGATGTCTGTTTTTTACATTATTTTTACATATATTACGATTTTTTATAGCTTGCTTATCTACTCCAACGTGATGGGTACCAATGTGTTGCAATTCATGGAGATTTGAAACAGATGGATCGTGAACGTCATTTGGATAGTTTTCGAATTGGATCCACACCAATACTTGTTGCTACAGCTGTTGCTGCTAGAGGACTTGATATTCCGAATGTTAAACATGTGATAAATTATGACCTTCCAAACAGTTTATTTTCATATTTTTTCTAATCTTCTTAATTTTTCTTTTAAAGATATTGATGAATATGTTCATAGGATTGGACGTACAGGACGTGTAGGGAACATTGGTTTAATTTATATTTTTTGTTTTTTATTTTGTTCTTTTTTGAGGATTGGCAACTTCATTTTTTAATGATAAAAATAGAAATATTACTCATGAGTTGGCTGAATTGATTGTTGAAACTAATCAGGTTTTTTTGGAAATTTTTTTGCATAGATTATCTGTCTTTATTTTTAGCAATTACCCGATTGGCTTGAACAAATTTCTCGCGAGTCAGGCAAATATGGAGGTGTTCGGACTCATGGAGGAGGTGGTGGGCGGCGTGGTGGAAGTTCAAATCGTTTTGGAGGGTTAGTCTAATAAAATATTTATAAATTTATTTAAAAATAAATAGACGTGACCATCGTGTGCAGTACACTCCACAGGTTCGTGTTGGTGGTGGAATGCATCAATTTGGTCATCAAAATAATGATTGGCGTGGAAATGGTTTTGTGGCAAATCCAGTCGGTTTTGTGCCAAATCCAGTTGGTGTAAGTACTTCTGCTTCTCCACGCATTTCTGCTATACCACAGCAGCAGCAACAACATAAACCGGTGAATCGGGCGCCTCAGCAAATTCAACAGGTCATTACAACTTAAATTGTTTATTAGATTAGTTTTGACATAAGTTTAGATAATTATCTCGAATTATAACCAAAAATTTGGCATTTTAACATCCGAACCATCGTGTAGAGTAAATTTCCTATTTATTTTTTTATTCTTTTATTAAGAGTTGATTAAAGAAGGATTTTAATAATATATACTCGTACGATCGGTTTTAAATCCTGAAATTTTGGTATTTTTCATGCCAAAAATACCGAAACAGGGTTTTTTAAGATTTGGATGAACCTAAATTCGGCGATTCCGGTTAATGGCCGGTTGTTTCCAACTCTTATATATACTATGGTTTGTATTGAAATGTCTAATTTTTGGGTGTTAATTCTGAATAGTCCCTTGTTTTCTGTTTAAGTTATCTGTTTCAGTTAATTTTAACTTAGGCAGACTTTAAAATTTAATTTTTAGTTCCAATTCTCTTTAATACCCTTTTTATTTTTCTATTCTTTATCCGAGTAATTACATATCCCTTCATTTTTGCAGAATTGGTGGGATTAGGATATACACATAATGAAGGACAACATAAATTGGCAGCTTTTTTCACATCCTGAAGTCCGATACTTGCAGATAAAAACTATTTTTAGGGCTAATATATAATAATATAATTTTTTTACTACTTCTTATCTCTTTTTTTATATATATTTATGTTACACTTAATTTGGATTATTATTTTTTTATCTGCCGCCAAAATTGATCTAAAATATTTTTGTGCGTCTTTATTGTAATATTATTAATATTACGTGTGTAACACCTTTTTTTTATTTCTTACTCGTCGGACTTCAATATATTATATATTTATTTTTCATAATATACTAATTAAGAGAAAGGATTTTAAGTTTTATATAATTTAAGGACCAAAAATAATTTTTGTTTTGTTTATGTATTTGGTTTTTTTGTCTCAATACGTGGGGGGAAGTTTGTGGAAAGTCAAAGACTTGGACTAGATAGAAAATGAACCGAGATGAGATCTTGATCAAAAATTTCGGTTATCGAGATCCCTATTTATAAACGAGTTTTTTGTTGGAATTAAGCTAAAACTTCAAAATTTTCCTTTATTACCCAAAAAATTACTCAAATAATATTTTTGAAAAATCTTTTTCCGAAACGCTCTACCCCTGGTCTGTATATTTTCTTGGATCACTTTAAATTTTCAACTACCATATAAAAATTAAGAAAAAATGAATTTTAAGATGACAAAGAAACTAGGAATCCTCTTTTCTAATATCACTAGCGAAAAATTTGGAATTTAATATGTCCTATAATCCTTATTTCGTCCTATTTAGCGTCATACGTGAAAATTCTTGAATTTTAAGAGATAGAAATCAAGCTCGACATCATTTAATCTTTATGGGAAATATCGGGAAGGATCGGGGAAATTCTGGTCACTGGATTGAGCAAATTCTGCCATTACTGAGAATCGAACCTTATCTTTGATTATCTGGAACCGATATCCAGATCAAAATTTTTTGATTATATCCAGTCATTTCTGTCCAACCAGTTTTCTGAAATAAAAAGAAAAACTTGTCTTTTCGCTTGCCCCTGTTTTGGAAATTATTATTAAGAGAAAAAGGAACGAAGAAATATGCGAAAATAAAAAGTGGCCAGATACATAATATGTTTAATGCATTTATCAAAGTAATAATAATTTTTTAAATTTATTTTTATTTTGTTCCCAAATTTATGTTTTGTCATTTTTCTTCATTTCAAATGTGAAAATTGTTTCATTTTTTAAAATTTGTTTTTAATTTCCTTTATCTCTTCATACAGTCAAACTTTGTTTGTTTTTGTTAAAAATTATGGGGAGTGAGTTTTTGTCAATTTTTATTTAAATATAATGAAAGATAAATTGTGTTTTTTTTTATTTTTAAATTTTGTATTATTTGTTCTGAGGAACATTAAATATTTTTTTAATATTTTTAAAATATTTTTTCAGAAAAAAAAATTATTTTTTAGAGACAGAATGCTTTTATTTTTTGCATAATATATTATTTTGAACAGCTAAAATGGATATTCACAATCAAAAAGCACAGCGTTTGCCTGTCTTTGTTCAACCGGGTAAAAAAATTTTTTTTTAGAAAATTGCAAATATTTAACAATTTTTCAGGTGAAATCAATTTCATAGTCGATAAACCAGATACCCAAAAATCTTTGCTGACAATTTTCAATCCTTATCCTTTTCCTATTTACTTTCGAGGTATTTTTGAGGAAAAACTTCTAAAAATTATTTTCCCTTAGTTCTTTGTAATGCGCCTTCTAATTATGCTCTCGGCCTTACTAAAGGAACGATTCGTGCCGGGTGTTATATTGATATGTAAAGAATTTTTGAATTCAAAAAATAAATTTAATTTTAAGTACAATAAGGCACAGAAATCCAACAGTTATTGGAAGTGATTGTTTGAGAATAGAAATTTGTTCTTTAAATGATTCTGCGGTCAGTAAAAAATTTTATTCTTGAGGAGATTTATTGGGGGATATAGAGAGATTCCTTTACCGTTTTTTGCCCCCAATGGCACTAAAAAAATTTTTATACGGAAGTTCAAAATCCACCCAATCCCTCTTCAATTTTAGTATCACTCGCTCAGCTCAGCGAGCCTTCTCGGACAAACTATACGTTTTTATCATTTGAAATGCCACCCGGGAGCATTTAAGAGACCGCGACAAAAATACTGTTACACCCATATTTTTCAATTTCTTTTTTAAGCTTTCCGGTATTAAATCAATTCAATTAAACACTTTAAAAACTTCAATTCCATCAAAAAATGTTTCTTCAACTTCAATGTTGGAATTTGACGAAAATGAAATTCCAACAACGAGTAGACAAGCAACAATAAATTCTAATAGATCAATACATAAATTTTCTGCAAATATTAATAGAGGAAGAAGGAATGATGGAGGGGGAATTGCAGAAAACGTAAAGAAAAATAAAAAATTGGGAAGACTTTTTGTCACTCGTTTTGGTCTTTTTCTTTATTCTCGGAATTTCTAAATTATTTAAAAAATTTATTTTATCCTAAAAATCTTGGGGTATAAGTTTTAAAATAAAAAAATTTATTTTTAGAATACCCAAAGCTTTTACTGGTTGGCAGTAATTTCATTTCTTTTTTGTGTTTCTGTTCTTTTAACTCCAAGATGGATAGATCCAGAACAACAACAACAACAATATACATTTATTCCGAATTGGCTACGGCCATCAGTAACTGGTCAATGTGTTGCTAGTTATGTTTTGGGGGTAAGGAATTCTAAAATAGATTAAAAGTGGGGTTGTTTAGAAGTAAATACAAAATAGATGGCTAAGGATTACGGAAAATGTAAAAAATTGGGAAATCTTAATAAATTTGAATTGGAATTCTCTTAAGAAAATTCAGATTTTATTAACATACTTTTTGTGCTAATAATAATTAGTGTTGATCACGGTACCGTATTACGGCGGTATTTTTCGGTAATACCGCGGTATTTTTACCGAAATACCGATACCGAATACGGTACCGAACAATTTTTAAAAAATCGGTATTTTTCGGTATCGGTATTTTACCGAAAATACCGATACCGAAAAATCGCGTTTGACCAACACTAATAATAATGCCCTCAAAACCTTAAAAATTAGTCTTTCTCTGATGTGCTATAGCCAGATTCTCCAGTGCCACTATAGTCTTATTTATTAGTTTGTCTATAATTTTACAAGGGTATAAAGACTATATATTGGACTGAGACGAGATCTCGGTCAATAATTTTGGTTACCGAGATCCAACTTTTTTTCGATTCTCGTACGTCCCAGTTCGATCTCTAATAAGGACTAAGGACTACTATGGTAGATATTTTTAATTTAATTTTTTTCTTTATTTCAGATCCTCACAGTTTACTTTTTTCTACAGCCAGTTGCAATTTGAATGTTAATGGAAAGTTTAAATACTTGCAATTTTTGTGAAATAATTCTACATTAAAATAAATGAATCTGAATTGAATTAAATATATATTTAAATGATTCGTTAACCTCATTTAAATTCTTTTCCCTTTCAAGTTAAAAATTTTGTTAAGTATTTTACTTTAGAAAATTTTAATTACTTCAATCTGTATATTTTAATTTTTCTGCTCAATGTAATAATTATATAAACAAAAGTACATATATAATCATTTAAAAATGAATAAACATTTTTTAATAATTTTTTGTTCAAAATTACACTCAATTACATAATTTGTTCGGTCCTTACAAAGGAGAGTGCCTGAGGTGTCCGTGGGACTTCGGGATGAAATTTGGTAGACGGGTAGATCATACCATACTTTAGTTCAATAGAAGTAGGGTATTATCTATCTGTCTACCAAATTTCATCCCGAAGTCCCACGACACCTCAGGCACCCTCCTTTGTTAATTTGTATAACAAAATTGTTTGGAATCGAACGAGAGTTCCCAATTAAATTTAAAATCTTCAATTTTTAAGAATTAAATTCCTCACCAATTGTTTTAATGGCAAAACGCCAGCCCTCCTCCATTTTGTCCTTAGCTTGTTTCTAATTCAACAATTGTTTAAAAGTGATCAATATTTATGGATTAAAAGAATGTTTGATCCATGTCTCTAAAATTTATCTTCTCTATATATAATGTGGAGAAATATATTTCGATTTCATCCCAGCTTTTATAAAATAATTTAATCATAGCATAATTATCAAAAAACATTAAACTTTTGTTCATATTTATTTGAGTTTAATTATTATAATCTCGGTGGGACAAAACACCGTCCGACAATGATACCTTCCCTATATTAGAGTGAAAAACACTCTCAAGGTCGTTTTTCGATATTATGTTATCTTGATATCTTTAGACCCTTATGGCTATTAGACTTTTATTTTAAAATTTGCTCACTTTAAGCAAAATAATTGTGTGTAGGTGGTGTTTTGTCTTGACAAGATAATTTAGATACTTTTTTTAAAGACAAACTAAAATGAGTGGCCATCCAATTCACCGTTCACGTTCCTCTCCAATGATTGCCTGGAACTCCCATTCTCGAGTAAGCTTTACAAAAATGAAAAAATTCCTTAATTAAATCTAGTTGGCAAGGACTTATTCAGTCAGTGATATTTCAGCATATACAAATGCTAGCGATTATTTTAAGGTAAAATTTAAAAAGAATTTTTGAGAAATTGTGTTTTAGCAACGTTGGTCAACAGCTTATAACCCTTATCACAACAGTCGGACTTATTATTATTGGCCCCACCATCGAAGCAGTTCTCTATACCCCGTAAATATTTTTTTTAATTTCTAAAAATATTCCTCCCCCTCCTTTTAAAGGTTTATTCAACACATGAAAGTACTCGATATTTTTATGAATCTCCATATTATACTCGAGTGCCTACTTTCTATCCCACATGGTATTTAATGAAGATTTTAAATTAAAATATTTTTAAGGGATTTTAATTCAAATTCAAATTACTACACTTATTTACTGGCAAGTTTTAAAATATAAAAATATTTTTAGAAAGCTTCGTGATTACTCTATCTCAAATAATTGCCCTAGATTAATTATCCTTTCCAGCTCTTAAAAATCGGAATAGATCCCATCCCTGTTATACATCCCGATTTTGACATAAATTTAAACTGGGTAAAATAATAGTAAATTATTTCGAGGATAAGAGAAACTTTTTTTTATTTTACCTCGTGGAAGTGATAACCTGTTATTTGAGAAACCTAATAATAGACAGTGTAAAGATTTCTGACTTTTTAAACATTCAGGACACTGTTCGCGCTGTTTGGCGTCCAGCCCCTTATGGCTATGGAAGTACTTATACATACAGAACATATTGGCCTTGGGTGGGGATTTTAATAAATTTATAGAAAATATTTTAAAAATTATTTTACAGAGAGGAAATATTCGCTATCACCAACGGCAAGTTTATTAAAAATATTAAGAATTTCAAAAAAAATTTTTCTTTCAGATTTGACTGAATTTGTGAAAAATCTTCATCAAAAATTTACTTTGCCAATAAGAATTATATAAAAACTTTAATTTTTGTAGAAATTGAAAGAATAAAATTCTATATTCAAAAAATGTTTAAAAGGTTTATTTTCCCCTAACATCGTTGACTTAGGTAGTGAGAGGAGGAATGTTTGAGCAAAAGGCAATCATGCCTCGCTAGGATTCATACCGTTTTTTAAAAAATATTTTCTGGTTTGGGATTGTTGTTTTATTGCATTTGTCAAAGAAGCGTAATTTCTTCGTTTTTAGCGCCTTACGTTGGGAGCACTCTGATTAGACTCGAAGCTAGCATTAAATTAATAGGGACACGCCCGAAATGTCGCGGGCCAAAATGTCGCGGCCGAAATGTCGCGACCGAAATGTCGCGGGCCAAAATGTCGCGAGGCCGAAATGTCGCCGGCCGAATTGTCGCCAAGCTTTTCTTCATATTTTCGCCTTTTCCTTGTTCACCTTTTCGCTTCAATACCTGTTTTGGTGTTGCTACGGAGGGTAGGTCGGCATTCAAGGCTGAGAATCGGTAAAAAGGAATAGGATTAAGTTACGAGCCCAGAACCCAGCGACCGTAGACTCCCCGCGAGGCGCGTGCCGCAAAACTCCGCGCGAAGCGCGGAGTTTTGCACAAGCGCCTCGCCGACGCTCCATAGGTTTAAGTTGAAAACTATATCCTTGTTTTGTAATTATTTTACAGAATATTTAATTAAAAAGCTTGGCGACAATTCGGCCGGCGACATTTCGGCCTCGCGACATTTTGGCCCGCGACATTTCGGTCGCGACATTTCGGCCGCGACATTTTGGCCCGCGACATTTCGGGCTGTACCCAAATTAATAAGCTAGCTCCCTGAACTTGCTGATGATGTCGGGATCTGAGTTATGAATTTGAAAAAACCGTGGTGGACAGATCCGCTCGTATCCGCGAATACATCTACTCATGAGCACGTCTGATTTCAGATAAATAAAGTCTTTTCCCTTCCAAAGAGAAATCCTGTTTAAATTTGCACTTAAAATAGTGACAAAATAAAAGGTTTGGCATAATGTTTATTTTTCGACATTTTATCCATTATCTCAAAATTTGCTATAAAAGCGTGGTTTTCTAATTTTTTGTCATTTTTATAGCTAGTCGCATTGTATTTTTCTTCTTGTGTTTCTAATTTTTTATTGTATTTAGTTTTTAACTGATTGGGGTCTTCAGGGTTTAGGGTTATTTTTAAATTGATTTTTCCCTGATGGTCACCTCTTATTTTTCCTTGAGGATTTTCTTTGTGTTTCTTATTTTTACATGAATTCCACTTAAAATTATCAATTTCTTTTTCAGTGTTACATATTATCTTCTTACGCTTAATTTTCTTTCAACAATAATGACGGAGACAATGTTGGATTGCTCTGACAAGGTGACTGAGACCAAGGAAGAACTTGTTCAGCTTGCCAAACTCGCCGAACAGGCTGAGCGTTATGATGACATGGCAGAGTCAATGAAGAAGGTTACCGAATTTGGAGACGAACTGTCTAATGAGGAGCGCAATCTTCTCTCGGTTTTTATCTTTTTGATTTGTTAAATTTAAGTAATTTCAAAGGTTGCTTATAAGAATGTTGTTGGGGCTCGTCGTTCTTCTTGGCGTGTGCTTTCGTCTATTGAGCAAAAGACCGAAGGGGGGAAGAAGACGATGAGTAAGGAATACCGTGAGAAGGTTGAATGTGAATTGCGTGACATTTGCAAAGGTGTTATGGTAAGCTTAACTTTTTGGAACTTTTTTTTGTATAGTTGTGAACTTAAACAAAAAGAGCTGGGGGCTAGTTTGGATTTTCGGTAGACCTTAAGATCATGGGCTCCTGAAAAAGTAAAAAATGCTCTTCGATATTCTTGATCGATATCTTCCCACATTAGCTTGAAGCGACACGAGTAGAATATCTAGTTGGGAACGTTAAACTTCTAACTCAAAAAGCGATTGGAGTATACCTTTTTTGCGATGCTGTACAACTTTTTCTGTTCCACTTAATGTCCTGTTTTAGGAAGTGATACCGCTGACTTTAGAATAATTTCAATTCATTTTCAGAATCTTCTGGACAAATTTCTTATTCCGAAAGCTGGAACTCCTGATTCTAAAGTGTTTTACCTTAAGATGAAGGGCGACTACTATCGTTATCTGGCTGAGGTTTCTTCTGGTGATGAGTTGACTGGTTTGTTGAAAATTGAATTATTCTTTAAAAATCTTTTACTATTCAGATGTTATCGACAAATCGCAACAGAGTTACCAAGAGGCTTTCGGTTTGAATTGTTGATTTTTTTTTAAATATTTTTTTATTTAAAAGATATTGCTAAGGACAAAATGCCGCCAACTCATCCAATTCGTCTTGGTCTGGCTCTCAACTTTTCGGTCTTCTACTTTGAGATTCTCGACAATAAGGGCAAGGCTTGTCAGTTGGCTAAGCAGGTTTTTTTGTTTGATAATTTTGAATAATTTTTCAAAATATTTTTAGTCTTTTGACGAGGCCGTTGCTGAGTTGGACACTCTTGAAGAGAATTTGTACAAGGACTCGACTCTCATTATGCAACTTCTTCGCGACAATTTGACTCTGTGGACTTCTGATGGCGGCGTTGAGGAACCGGAGACGGCTCCAATTGTTGCTGATGCCGAAGGCACAAATTAAGTGAAGGAGAGAGGAGAAGTAAATAATTAAATGGTAAAGAAAGGAAAATATAAGGAAAGACAATTTTTTAAATTTATGAGTATTTGTTTGTTTATGATTATATTTTTGTCTTTCGACCATCTAAAAAAGTTGGATAATTTAAATTTTGTTGAGTAAATATTCTGATGAATTTTTGATTATTTATAAATGTTAGGTAAAAATTGAGTTTTTAGAAGAATTAAGAGCATGCTTCCTCTCTTGAAGTGTATTCCTGTTGCTGTACACAGTAGTCCTCATATCAGTGAAGCGAGCACGTCCGCTTTGATGTATGAGTTGAGGGAAGTTTGACTGAAGGCGGCAAAAATATAGTGTCTGAACCAAGAATTTGTGACATGCGATAAATTTCCTGGGAAGTTTGTTTTGGATTTTCCCCTTGGAAATTTGATTTTAATTCCTAAATTGTTGCTGATGCCGAAGGCAGAAATTAACCCCTTGTAAAAGATCTTTTGTACTTTTTATTAAAGATTTTATTAAAAGAAAAATAAAAAGTTTTTTTAATCTAAAAAATTTTTAAATAAAAGTTTAATTTTGTAAAAACTAATTTGTATCAAATATATATTATGCAATGAAATTAAAAAAAAATTTTTTATTAGACAAGGCGGCCAATAAATTGAGTTTTGTTGTATTTCTCTTTTAAAGAAGGCCATTGAACAAGAAAAGCATTTGGTATATTTAAATGATAAAGAATACCTAAAAATTTTATTTCAAAATTTTTTTGATTTAAACAAACGTCCAGTAAGTGAAAGTGTTTGGACTCTACATATTGACTCGACAAAAATAATTTTAATTCTTTTTATTCTTAAAAAATTGAAGAGACGGGCAAATAAACAAATTGGTAGACAAATTGCTGGGCCATTGCAAAGTATTAAATCTGGCCTAGAAAATTATTTTGTTAAAAGAGTAGGGAAATATTTACAGGAATTATTAGAACCCTATCCTCGTTTAAAAGAGAAGAAACAGATATCCAACGTAGAGACCGGAAAAATCGAATTTCCGGGATCCCGAGTCGTGATTTTTTCTTAACCGATGCCGGGAGGGACAAATCCCGAAAAAATCCGGGATCCCGGAAAATCCAGTCGTGATCCCGTCACGCGCCGGTCTCTAATCCAACGATTTAGGGACAGACAAAATGCCAAAATTAAGGTCTCAATCAGGGGTGGGCGCATTGCGTTTTTTTTGCGTTTTGCGTTGATTTTTGGCCTTGCGTTGCGTTTTGCGTAAATTTGGCCAAAATTAACGCAAAAAACCGCAAGAAATATACCCAACTTTCCAAAATTCTCAAAATTTTCGTCTGCGGCGCTTAAAAAAAGAAGAAATTTGGCATTTTGGTCCCAAATTTTTCAAAATTTTCGCCTGCGGCGCTAAAAGTAGATCATAGAACTGCTCAGAAAAATATCAGTTCAATATCTTGAGCTCCGATCTCCCTTTATCCCTCCAAATCCCCTGATATCCGCGGTATCAATTGAGAATTACAGATATGCATTTATCCTCCGCTATCTCCCTAACCCATCCGACATTTATCAGTAATCGCATGGTATCTTTTTAAATTTCCTTGATCCCTCCAATTTTCCTCGATCCTTCCTTCATAATTAGGGACAGCCAAAATATGCACGGAAAATCGCCAAATATGCGCATATATATGCAGCGAAAAAGTTCAAAATATGCACCAAAATATGCAAAATTTGCCAAAATATGCACTGAAATATGCACCAAAAACTAGTTAAAATATGCTTTAAAGATCAATATTTTAAGCCAAAAACTCGAAATTAGCCTTCAAACCCGCAATTTAAGAAAATTCTTAAAAGATTTTATGGAATTAAGATTATTGCATAGAAATTTAACAAAAGAAAATTTTTCCGAAAAATTTTTCGAAAAAATTTTTTTATAAAATTTTTATAATAAATTTTTTGACCAAAAAAATTCCGAAAAATTGAAAATTTTCGCCGATTTTTACTAAAATTTACCAAAAAATGCCGAAATATGGACCAAAATATGCAAAAGTTGCCAAAATATGCACAAATATGCAAATATGCACGGGAGGGCCGAAATATGCAAATATATGCATTAAGAACCGGGTCCTAAAGTGCTCGTACCAATGTAAAAACACCATTTTTGGGCTTCCCACGTTAAGGCATATCAGCATACAAAACATGCATTTGCATGTTTTGGCTGTCCCTATTCATAATCGCTCTAAATCCTCTAATATCTTTCATAATCCCATTGTATCCCCTTCAAATCATTACCCATCCAACTTAATTGTATCACAAGATCAACTAGGACTCGCTGACTTATAGTAATATTTCTATTTTAACTGAAAAATGGCTAATACTCGATTTAAAAATTTTTTTCAAAATTTTGCGTTTTGCGTTGATTTTTGGCCTTGCGTTGCGTTTTGCGTTTTTCTCGATTGCCTCTTGCGCCCACCCCTGGTCTCAATTAAAGATAATTTCAAACAAAATTTTTATTTTCAAAACTTCATTCGGTCCGGTCTCTTCAAAAAATGACATTATATCACAACCATTTTTTAGAGAATTTGTTTGATTTTTCAATGTCTAATTTTTTTTTATTTATCAAAAAATCTAACCTTTCCCAACAAAAAATCATAAACAGGAATAATTTCAAAAAAGTTTACAAATTTTAGCCCATTTTTTCATATTTAAAAAATTCACCTAGTTATCCTTAAAAGTTTTGCAGAATGCCAAGAAGCTATTAAAGTTGTTAGAATAGAAGAACAATAGGATTGCCCAACATTCCTGGCTCTTGGAATTTTGTAAATTAAAAAATTATTTTTTTCAATTTGTTTTTCAAAATCAGAAACCTTTAAAAAATTAATTTAAAAAAATATTTTTAAAAAAATTCCCACTTTTGTATGACTCAATTTATCAGAATCAGCAATTACATAAATTCTATCAGAAAATAAATTACTGTCAATTGTTGAAATAAGCAATTTAAGCATTTCTGTTGTATCTTTTTAAAAAATAATTTTTTTCAAAAATTTTTTGAAAATTTTTTAGAAAATTTTTTTGGCTCGTCCAGATTAGGCGTCCAAACACACACATACCCAATGTTTGAACCTCCGCAATTAGACCACATGTAGTATATCTACGATAGATTCAAATTAGTACCATAAAAACTATTGGTATATAGCAGGGATCGCACCGAAAAATTCCCAATTCCCGAAATAGGAATTTTTTTATGTCGGTGCGATCCCTGGTATATAGAGAACTCTACTCACCAAGAGTTAAGGTACACATGAGCAGTACCGGACCATTGGTCTAAAACGGAGAACCGGGTACTTTGGACACATAAAAATTTATTTGGACGTATAAATGTCGGTTGGACGCTTAAACTAGACAAAAGACAAATTTTTTAATTTCTAATTCCAAAAGAATTTAAAAAAATTTATTTACGTCCTCCAGAGCCCATTATTGCCATCAATTTTAAATCTCCATTTTCAACAACTAAAAATATTTAAAATTTATTTAGAAAATATAAAAATTTATAAAAACCTTTATTATTTTCCTTTTCTTTCAATAAACGTAAAGAAACATTTAAAATAAATAAAAAAATATTTAAAATTAAAAGTAAAGAAATAAATAAAGAAATTAATTGCAAAAAAGAAAAAGCTTCAAACATTTTAAGAGGGAAATCTAAAAAAAAATTTAATTTAAAAAAAATAAAAAGGGCCAACCATGAATGCCTACAACATTTTGAAAGATATCGAGGCGATTGGAAGGATTAAGAGGAACTGGATACTATGGCGATAAGTACCAGAGGTGGGTCGGAATAGTCAGAGGTGTCGGAAATCGGAAGAGCCGAAAATCGGAACTGGCTCAAAAGTCGGAACTCGGAAATGAAAATATTTTTCGGAAATCGGGATTCCGATCCACCTCTGATAAGTATCCAATTTACGGAACTTTTATTAGAAACTAAGGTCCAGTATTGTGTTTGTGAAACTTTGGGTAAGTAGGTATCCCTTTCAATCACTAAAATCCATTTAATTCCCTCACTAAATCTCTTCGATATTCCCTTCCAAAATGTTGTAGACATTCAAGGCTAACCCCAAAAATAAATTACATAGAAAAAAATATTTAAAGTAGTCAACGCGATTTTCTCGAATTTTTTTGAAAAATAAAAATAATTTTTTTAACATTTAATTCAACAAAAAAAGTGAAAAAATAAAGAAAAATGTTCAAAAAACATACAAAAATAATTTTAAAAAATTAACAGAAAAAATAGTTAAGAAAATTCTTAAAATTGAGAAAATAACCCTTTTTTAATATTCAAATAATTATACTTTCCGGTTGAATTTCAAGCATTTCAAGTACATCCAAATGCTTAAAAATTATTTTTTTTATAAATAATTAAATAAAAACATACAACATCTGATATATTTTCACCATTTTCAGATAAATAAGAAAATAAAGAATCAAGCCTGGCCAATCGGTTAGGGAAAGAACGAAGTACTGACGTTGCAAGACGGGTCATTCTATATTCTAATAAAATAAAAATTTCGAGAAAAATTTAAAGATTAAAATTATTTTTAGTTTGGTTGATTTACCCAAAAATTTAATGTTTGGGAAAATTTCTTTAAAAATTTAAATAATTTTCGACAGACCGTAAACAGGATTTTTCCGGGGGAAGGGGTAATTCCCCCTGATTACGGGCCTAATTTTCGAGTAGTTAATTCGAAAATATCTTCTATGTGTCCAAAGTCAGTAATTATTCTTTTTGTCCTCTCTAAGTAATTTTTTCTAGGAAAAAATCATTGGCTTGTGGATAGACCTTAAAAACTTTGGATGATAAAGAAAAAAACCAAAAATCCGATGGAACTCAAAAATGAAGAAAAAATTAAAAAAAAACCTGCAGAATACTCCAATTTCCTAATTGGATGTACAACACGGCTTTCAACAAGGAATGACTCCAATAAACGCAAAAGACCAGTAATTTTTTCTTTATCAGCAATTTCTAAAAGAACATCAAAATTTCTACTAAAAAGAAAAATTTTTTAAAAATATTTTGAAAAAATTAAACCTGTGAACTACAGGTGTTGAATAAGCACAGCAAGCAGTTAAAAGTTGATTTAATTCATTTACAGTCAAAGATTGGACAACACAATTACTTTCTCCTAATTGTTAAAAATTTTTAAAAATAAAATTTTTTTAGAAAATACCTTGACTATCCCTTTCATACCATTCTTTAAATAAACGGCCCCCAAATGTGTTTAGTTGATTTGTGTTAACATACCAAGTCCTGTCTGAATTCTAATCAATTTTTTTTGAATTTTCAAAAATTTCAAAAAACTAACCAAAATAGCAAAATTGCGAAAACCGTTAGAAACACTCAAATCTACAAAATATTTCCAAAATTTTAAAAATTAATTAAAAACCTCCAGGAATTCCAAGCATTTCTCTTACACAAAGGGAAAATTCTAGCCAATCTATAGTACACGAATTGGTTTCGATTCCTTGTAAAACTTCTTTGTCTTTCCATCTATCACGTTCAATCTAAAAAAATTTTTTTTTTATTTCTAAAAAATTAAAAAAATCGAAATAGAAATTCTAATGAAAATTCAAGGGGTTTTGACAATTATAGTAAATGGGAATTTTTGGAGGAAAGATTTATAGGAATTTTCAAATAAAATCAAGGAATAAATTGACATAAATATGGAGGTTAAAAGAATTTTCATTATTTTCTGGCTAATCTTTTAGCTAAAAAATTTTTTCCCTACCAATTTCGTTTCCGAGTCTACAACCAATTTATAATCAACAATAAGTTCATATCCATCCCCTTTTTCATCTCCTGACAAATTAGCTGGTTCAATTGCCAATTCTACTTTTGCATGTTCTTTTTTATTCTCCTCATCCTCTTTTTGGCATTCACATTTTTTGGCCTTAATTTTATTTTAAAATTAAAATAAATTAAAATTCAAACCGCAAGAATAATTTGAAAAGCACTTTGAGGTATTCTGACAGAAACTGGAGACGTCTCGACGTTGAAACTTAGTCTTTTAAATAGGGAATTCATTCTATAGGTCATAGTTTATTTTTTTGTTTTAAAATTGTGGCTAAAAAAGAAAATTTTTAAGAATATATAGGCGGGAGAGAGCAATTCACATGTCAAAAAATTTTCGAAAAAAAAACTAAATTTTACAAGGTAAAGTAAAAAAAACTGTCCCTTCTAAAAGGGAAGTCGGCAATAATTGTTTATTCGTCGAAATCGTTATCACTTAAACTTCATATCCATCCCGTTTCATGTAGATGAAAAGTGATATGACGACGGAGGCAAGAGGGTATTACGGGAAATTTGAAAAACGGGACAAACAAAAAATTACCTATTACCGGAAAGTCTACAAAATTTTCTAATTTTAAATAAAAAATTTTTATCGAATTGCCCTTTCCAGAAATTTACCATTGATTTTAAATAAATTTATTAAAATATCCAAATTGAAAATATAACAATTTGCTTAAAAAAAGAAAAAATTGTCTAAAATAGTTTTTATACAAACATAATAAATTGAAAAAAATATAATTTGAAAAAAAAATCCATTTAAATTTAAAATGGCTAATTAGTCTTATACATTTATATAGGTATTTATTTATATGCTTTTTTGAAAAAAATTAAAAAGCTTTCTAGAAGCTTTTTTTAATTTATATTCAAATTAAATAGGTTTATAAAGTAGTGTTGTCACATATTTCTTTCGATGTCGATGAGTTGCACTCAACACCTTTAAAAATTAAAAAAGAAAAATGGGGTTGTTTAATATGATAAGGCTTTAAGAGATAAACTTTTAGCTTATTAACATATCTGACACGCCTAAAGATTATTAGGGCTTATGTTCACAAGGGAACATTCGAACTGTGACCAAAAATTTTGGCTCTAACGATGGTAAACTTTTATTTAAAACTTTTTGGTCACAGTTCGAAATGTTCCCTTGTCAGTGCTTAGACGCTCGTTTACGAGCAAAAAATAAGGGTTATGAGGAATTTTAAAAATTAATTAAAAACCTCCAGGAATTCCAAGCATTTCTCTTACAGTAAATTTCCAAGCACTGTTATGTTATAAAAGTCGACTAACATTAAATATGGTTAACAATATTATGCCCGAAAATTAATATTATTTTTAACGCCCAATTTAAATTCAGAAATAAACCCCAAACACTTTAAAACCCCTAGATGTTATAACTACAATTTAAAATAAAAAAAAACAAACCATAACGCCATCCTTAATGGAAAGTGCGTAAAGATGATTGAGCATTACATGATTTGGTTCAGGCAGAACATTTGGATCGCATTGTACAGGAGTGTCTTTGTTCAGAATAACCTTTAAAAATTAATTATAACTAAATTTATGAAATTAATAAAATACTTGCAAAAGATGAGGTGGCAAAATTGGAGGATTCGAAGCTTTCTCTAAAATTAAAAATTGATTGGACAATACAAAAGAAAACAGTAATTCTGAACATTGTCCCCCCCCCATTTTTTCCTTGCTTAAGATTGTACATAATGGTCAGATTTTTCCCCTTTACTTTTTTCTCTGTTGCATATTCAAACAAGAATATGCAACAGAGATATGAAATATCCTATAAAATAAAAAAATGGCAGGCCTGGGGAGATTTAAAAATTAAAAATTTAGGCAAAAGGCCGTTTTGCTGGAAAAAGTTAAATACGTAAAAAATCCTAGAAAAACAAACGAACCGAAATCTCGTCTATCAGGAAGTTGTTGAGTAAATTCCCGCAACCTTTCCAGTTCTCGATCATTTGGAGTGTCATGCGTTGGCTGTGCAGCTCCAGTTGTATTCATCATTCGCATCGCTTCTCCAGCATTGCTAGCTTGTAAGTCTTTGTCCAAAGCATCAAAAACCTTTTGAAAAATTTTTTAATAAAATTTCTAAAAAATTAAAGAAATACAGCAAAATCCTGTTCGTCAATTGAGATAACATTATTTTGACTACCCATTGGATTGTCAGTTTTAACACCAGAATCATCAACCATCCAACGACCGTCAACCAAAAATTTATATTCATAACGACCTATTTAGGTTTAAATAAAAATAGAAATTAAAAAATGAAACCTGGACAGAGATCAATTATGGTAGTGAAATCGTTGGTAGATTTGACGAGTGGAATTTTTCTTTTCCAATTGTCCCAGGAACCCTGTAAATTAAAAATGAATTTTAATAATTTTTGAAAAGCTATGAAGGCATAGAATGTCAAAATATATTAGTGACCTCCTCTCAAAATTCTAGGCCTTAAAAAAAACAAAAATATTACCGTTAAGTAAACATGTTTCGCATTTTGTGATTGAGAAGTCCATTTAAAAACAACAGGGCATTCATTTGCCGATAAATGCTCCAAAGCATCAGCCAACTCTGCTTTAGCTATTTTCATCTAAAATTAAAAAAAATTTTTTACAAAAATTTTAAACAAAAAAACTTGAACAGGACAACCATCATCACCAGTCGAGGACTGACTTTGCAATGCATGATGCCCAGAAGATGGAATAGTTGAGGTCGGTGTTGATGGAATTGGACGGCGTTGCGAATCCGAAGCACGCTCTCTTTTGTGTAATCCCCCTTGATTATTGCCCATTGTCTTTTTTTAATTGGACAAATCGCTTTGTAAATATATTATTCCAGTCCAAAAAATTTTATCATAACTTGTCCCTAAAAAATTCTAGGAAAATTAACGTAAATTTATTAAAAATGAAGGAAAAATTTTTTTCACCCCATGATTTTAAAAAAACATAATGCCAGAAAACTGGGAAAAAAGATTGTGTGGTTAGAGATAAAAAGAAATAAGGAAATTAAGTGGAAATTTAAATATTTATTTTTTACAATAAAATTGCAATTCCAATTTTTATTTTTACAATTCCAACTTCAATTTTTACTTTTTCAAATTCTGATTCTGTTTTATTTCCTTTTGGTACTTGTGAGTTATTCCGGACCAGTTCTTGCTGATATTCTTTGCGGACTCACTTGATGTACAGAATGATGTAAGAAAAGTGATGGTAGGAAGAAAGTGAAGGTAGGAAGAAAGGCTGGTCATTTTGTAAATCAGGTAAGTCCGCAAAATATGTCCGCAAAAACTGGTCAGGGATAACTCACAAGTACCTTCCTTTTTAACCCTTAATCTAAATTTATTCTATTAAATATTACCTTTCTTTTACCTCCAAATAAACTGCTTTTTCTTAATTTCTTTTGGTTTATTAAGTTTGAAAAACTTTTTTTACAATTATTCCTTGTTTAGACAAATAAAAGTTCTCTAGGAAAAATTGCTTTTGTTATCTGCAATATCCAGCTGGGCACTCTTTTTGATTTGTTGTTTTTTTCAACATTAAACTTTCAAAAAGAGCAATAAAACTTTTAAAAATTATTTTTTCTTTATCGATTCTAACAAAATAAAATTTAAAATAATTTTTATTTTTTCAGTAATTTTTAGAAAAAAATGTTTTGTGGTTGTCTAAATATTAAAAAACGACAAATTTGTTCAGATGACAATTTGTCTTATGGAGATGGAAAAATATCTAATTCTTCTAATCATAAATCAGAATATGTAAATAGACTAACTCCTAATTCCAAACAAAATAATATGACCCAAAGTTCCAGCCGTGGATTTTTCAGCTTTGCGAGACGCCGAAAGAAGACACGGAAGGGAGGGTCGAAAGAGGAATTGAGGATGTCGAAGGTTTTTTGAATAATATTTTTTAAAATTATTTATAATTTTAAGCCGCTTTCTTCTTCATTGATAAAAGGCAGAAAAACTGGGCAGAAAAAAGTATCTTTTTATTTCCAAGAAAATTATGGCAAAAATCAATTTATTGAGGAGAATGCTGTCTCTTGCCGTGTGGATGAACCTGATGATGAATTGGACACTGATGGGTACTCTAAATTGGAAGGGGAGGATATACACTTTCGAGAACGATATGACTACCCAACATTTTTGAGGAATGGAAATGGTGGTGGTGGTACAGATGACCATCTTTATGCTAGTGCTTCACAGACATATTCTTTTTGGAGTGAGGACCCTTATAGGTATCGACTTTTTAATTTCTTTTTTCAATTTTATATAAATTATTGACTCAAAAAATTTTTACAGCTCAATCAAAAGCGTAATGGGGGATCGGGCATCGGGTGTTAAAGGCGATGAATCGAGCATCTACGAGCCTGGTTATTCAAAAATTCGAAAAATTCCAGTACAACAGAAGACAAAGTCGTTGAATGTGGATGAGCCGAAAAGTTCTTATGACCTCTATCCGAAGGTATTTTTGAAATATTCCTTTGTAAAATTTTCATTTTTTTCAGATTATTCACAATCAACGTTCTAGAAAAGATTTTAAACCAAATAATCTTCCATCAACATCAGTCGAAGCTTCTAATAATAATTTGGACAATTCTCAAAAATTTTCTGTCGATGGTAAATCTTTGCTAGACATTCAACAAGATAGTGCCTCAGGGAGTCTGACAAGTGGAAGTCAGCCTTCCTATCGATATCTGACGGGTATAAAAATTTTTTAGTTGAGATTTTATTTTTTTGTTTATTTTAAGTTCGTGAAAGTCCTCGGATTGTTCGAGAACGGATTCGACGCCGAGAAGAGGCTGCAGCTGCTGCAGCACTTCTGTTTGAAAATATATTATTTTTGAATAATTTTTGAAATTATTTTAGTGCTGAAAACAACGAAAATTCTGAAAGAAATATTGTTGAACGACGACCAGAACATTATTATTCTGAAATTAATGAATATGAATCTGTGGGTTTTGATCGAGAATTTTTAATTTATTTTTAATTAAGGTTGGGGGTGGAAGTTTATACAATAGGCCGAATTCAACGGAACAACTTAACGAAGTTAATGGTTTGTTTTTTTGTGAAAATCTTTTTTTTTAAATTTATTTTTTAAGTCACAACCTTTTCTATTTTATTGGTAATTCTTTGAGTAGATTTTATACTCTGGCTAGCCTATAGAGGAGTATAGGTATAGTATAGTATACCTACATATAGTATACCTACATATAGTATAGTATACCTACATCCTGAGGTGTAGGTTTAGAGGGTGTAGGTAAACTTCAATATCGAATAGCATTTAGAGATCAGAATCTTGAAAAAACCGGGTCCAGGAAACGAGTTCTGAAAGTTGACCGGGAGGACCCGGACCGGGAATTCCCGTTCCCGGCTGCTTCAAAAAACTGGGAAAAGGGTCCGGGAAACGGGTCTGGGTCCCGGACCCGTTCCGATCTCTAATAAGATTCACTAAAATCTCCACCAGACTCCAAAAATTTTTTAAGATTCCTTTATTTAGTTTTTCTAAAAATCTTCATTTATAATTTTAGTAAATATTTAAAATAAATTTCAGGACACTTAAGTACTTCACCTCCAAATCAGAATAATCAATTCAACAAAAATTTGGGAACATCAGAGATGCTTTGTATAGATTTTGGTTTGAATTCGTCTACAGAACCTCCACATCCTCCAACTTCCCCAATTCCAAAAACACTTCCAACAACTTCCTGCTCATCATCTACTGAACCACCTCAATCACTTATTTCAAAACCATCAATTCGTAGACCTGTTGTTTTGCGAATGGCGCCACCTAAGCCAATGAGTACTTTGACTGAGGAATATTCGAAAAAGGTTTTTCTGTTTTTTTTGAGAATTAATTTAGAAATTAGATAAATGTGAATTTCAATTGAACGTGTTTTTGACCTTTCAATCATTAGTTTCTTTTCGTAATCATTTTATTGTAGAGGAGATTGATTACAAAATTGATAAGGACCAGACGCCGAAGGCGCCAAAAATTTTTATTTTCAGTGCCGCAGACGAAAATTTTGAGAATTTCAGAGGCCGTAGGCCAAAAAATTCACTTTTTTTGCCCCAGCTCTTCCCCAAATTTTTTCCTCTTTCCCATTTCGGGGGGGGGGGGGGAATTCCCCCCCCCCCTGGCTACGGGCCTGATACCAATACTAACCTATTTAATAAAAAAATTTTTAAGTTGCCGTCAAACGGAATTCTTTCTTCAAACAATGAATTTTCTAAACATATCCGTGCCGTTCTTCAACCAATTTGGTCTAATGGTGGATCATTTACTGGCGAAAAGAAACAACAAAAAGGAGGAGAAATTTCCGGTCAATCATCATTAACTACTTCAACAAGAGCTTCTTTAGTTGAAGTAAATACACAAACTGCACCAATTCCTCCATCTCGTATTCCGGTTCCTCTCAATGGAATGTTAACAAAGCAAAACTATAACATTACCCGTAGAACGCCTAGCCCGACTAGAGATGTGTCTGTGCAAACAACGGGAAGTAAAGCAGAACAAAAGGGATTAAAAGCAGTGAAAAAGAATGGTTGGTTGGAAAAATAGGGAAAAGGGGGGGGGGGGGCAATTTTTTGGAGGGATTTTAAGTTGGAAAATTTTTATTTTTAAAGATAGACTCTAAAATTAGACCAAATTTCATTTATTTTTTTCATTTATAAAATATTCAATTTTTTAGTTAAAAAGCTTCCATTGCCTCCCTTACCTGGACAAGTTGGAAAAGATTATGTTAGTCCAATTGGTAAATATAAAAATTTCATTTTAATTAAAAATCTGATTTTTTAAGATCTCGGTAATGAACGTGCTTGGCCATTAAAGACAATAAATCAGACGGATGAAGGTGGATAATTTTTTGTAAAATCTAACTAAAAATTTATATAACTAAAATTGTGATAAGAAAAACTAGTTTATTTTTTAAAAATATTTTGTGTATATTTAACTTGAAGATCGAACTTTTAAATTTGAAGGGATGGGCTAATTGTTTATATTGGGTAAATTATCCTTTTAGACAAAAATTTTTTAAGGTTTTTTAGATAAGATCTGATTTTCACTATTCTGTTAGCCCCCCCCCCTATTTTTTATTTCTTTCTGACAAGGAAACATACGATATTGGGCACAAAAATTTGGTAATTTTTTGGTACCAAACGATAGAGGACCATCGATTTCCTATTGTTGTGTGCGGGTTTTCTTGCAAAATTATTTTGAGCCGAGTTATGGCCTCGACGGCTAGAGTCTGAATTTATAAGGTAAATGAGATAGAAAAACAGCTAAAGATCCTAGCGGGCAAAAACACACTGTAACTCCTTTTAAACAAAGCCTTGTCCTTTAAAAACTTTGTTCGATCTTTTCTATATTTTTTAAATTTGTCTTTCAAAAACTATTTTTGTTTGTACAAGATTTTTTAATTTAAATAAAACAAAAAATAAACATGTAAATTTTAGCTATATATTTTTTGTTAAAAAATATGAGAGATTTTATTTTTAATAATTCTCAAGTCTCTTTATTTTCACTCCTTTCACACGTTATATTGTCTTCAACAACACAAGAAGTTTCTTTCAATGGAGGTGTTTCTTCTCTATCATCCTTATTTTTGTTTAACTTCTTAAAAATTATTTTTTTAATTGGGAAAATTTTTAAATTTATTTTTTACCTCCTTTGCTTCACAATAAAAAAAGGAAGCCCGAATAAATGAAGGGTTTGGTGATTTGTTGGCAGCAGAAAATGTCCTCATTGGTGTCAGATTTAAATTAACCTGACTGTTTTTGTTGATATTCTCCGTTTCCTCATCGGTTGAGTCAACTTCTGGGATTGTTGTGCACTCTTCCAGAACTATTTTTGGGGGAAAAATTTTTAGGGCTTTCAGATCAATTTAAATTGGGGCAGTTTCGGCTTTAGGAAATTAGTTAGCATTAATTTTCTTAAATGAAAATGGAACTGCCAGGAATTGGATACCACTCTTAGATTAAAGATAGGGACTTTCCAAGATGGTTCCCAGACCGGTCCCTATACAAATTTACAGAACAAAAACCTCAACCTGATTTTGATGCTTTTGCACTATCCATAGATCCTAACCTTCTACCAGACAGAGTTGTGCCAAGTTTCTTTTCCTCTCTGGGAGATTCCTGAACAGGAACGAAAGGTGTGCTTGGATCATGAACTGAACGATTTGCTGCATCCGCGAATTCTTCGTCTAGATCAGAATCATAAAAAGAATCATCACTTCCTGCTTCTTCTGGTGTGCTACTTGTGCTGGTCATTTCGATAAATTTTTTTGTATCTTAATTAAAGCATAAATTAATTTAAAAATTAAAAAATATTAGGTATTGTTTAAGAACAAAGTTAGTGTACAGTTTTCGTTTATCCATTAAAAATATTTTTTTCACTATATCCACAAAGTTAAAGAAAAATTTAAAATATCAATTATTTTTCAATATCTTCACTTTCCATTAATTTCTTTTGTTTCCTTTTCAATCTTTCTACCAAAGAATTATTATCCTCCATATCAGGTAATAAATCATTTGTCGTTGTTTCTATCCGTCTTTTTTGCGATATTTTGCCATAAACCTTAAAAAATATTTATAAATCGTTGAGAACATGTTAAGAAGTTTTTTAAAATTAATTTAAAATTAATTATTTAATTCCTCCTAACCTGCCTATTAGCTAAATCCCCTCCTTTATATTGAGAATGTGTTTTATCTATCGCAAATGCACTATCATGAAAGAGAGCTGTAAACCTTTCATCTTTCTTTACATGATGCCAATTTGCATTATCATCATTTTTCTCATTGTTTCCATCATCTTCCTTTAAAAAAAAATTTTTTTTTTCTAATTTTAAAAATTCTTTAAAAAACCTCATTTTCTCCTTTATTTTGTCTCTTTCTTTCCTTTCTTTGTTCCAATTCTTTTTTCTTTCTTTCTGCTTTAATTTTCTTTTTTCTTTCCAAATAAATTTGAAATTTTGTTTGTTTCTTTTTTTTAGTTATTTCTTCATTTTCAGCAGAATCTTCATCAGAATCTTCCACAATTCCATCTTTTTTATCATTTAATGACACAAACTTTTCATCAGACAAAAGTTTGGTTTCTTCCTTTTCTTCTTTATTAGAAAATTGTTTAACAGAAAACATATCTCCTTTTTCCAAAGCTGATTCTCTAGCAGCAGAAATAAGTATTTGGTAACGATTTTTCTGTGTCTCTTCATCTTCATCTGAACCAGGGGCGACTAAAGATCTAAAATGGAATTTAAAGTAGGAAATGACATAAGGGAGAGAAATTTTTTGAGGAATTCATCAAGGGCGTAGCCAGAGGAGGGAGGGCTTCTGGAGTTATGTATAGCCCCCTGAAATTGGGAAAAAGAAAAAAATTTTGGGAGGGAAACGATCAGGGCGCACATCCCATTTTAGCCCCCTGAAATCGACCTCCTTGCTACGCCCTTGGAACTGATACCCATCGTAAAAAAATTAAAAACAAACTCAAAATCTTCCAATTTTGTTTCAGGTCCAAAAGCATTCTTCATTTTCATTTTTCTTTCCAAATCTCCTTCTTCCCAGCTAAGCTTTGGATTTGAGCATTGTAATGGATGGGTTTTTACATTCTTTGGTTTAAATCTAGCCAAATTAATTTCTTCTTGGGTTACTCTGTCACGAAGTCTATTTTCCTTAAAAAATTCCTTAAAATTAATTTTCAACTAAAAAACCTCAAAGTCCATTTCATCTGGGATAAAACGTAGGTCAAAACGGACACCACTGGATTCATATTCAACACCATCACAGGCCTCATAAATGGCGATTGCTGTTTCTAAAGTATCACAATGACAAACAGCATAATAATAACGAAGACGATCGAGTTCGTAAGCGTGAATTGCTTGACGAGTTCGCCTGTAAATTTTTTTTAATTCAATAGATAGCAAAAACGAAAAATTTAAGAATAAAGCTTTGAATAAATAAAATATAAAGAAAACTTACTCTTCCAAATCGCTTTGATCTTTTCTTTTTGATGGTTGCACGATAATCTTTGGTCCATGTAATTTTTCATATTCTAAACGTTCTGCTCCAAAATCTGACAGATAAACGGAAACTGAATGGATTACACCTGAGGACGGCTTTAGTGATTGGATGACCTTTTCAAAAATTAAAAAATTATTTCTCAAATATAAAAAAATAACAAACAATCATTAAAGCCTCGGCACTAATTTTACTCCAATCCATATTACAAATTGCCAGGCGAGTACTTGCCCATTCCACACGTCTAACTCCCTCTTCCAAGTCTGGCCCAGTATTTTCTTCATCAGAAATCTCAGATTTATCTTCTTCATCTTCACTGCTACTAGAATTAACGTCCGGTGCTTCACCTCTAGCTAAATCCAATGAAATTTGAGGCAATTCATCGTCGTCGCTAGATTCGTCATCTTCGTCGTCATCATCCTTCTCTTCTTGATCATTTTCTTCCTCATCATTTTTTTCCTCGTTACTCCTGAAAATTTTGTTTAATCAGGGTTGCCTCAACTCTTATTCAAAAAAATCATTACCCATTTTTGCCCTCATCCACTTCCTCGGTATCTTCATCGTCATTTTCCTCTCCTTCCTCATCGTAAACTTCACTTCCCTTTTCATCACTTTCCTCGCTCCCTTCACTCATTTCATATATTCTCTTCGCAAAGTTTCCTCCTTTTCCTCTAACTGGTTTTCCTCTTTTATCCACACGAAAATCCCGATCATCGAAGCGTTTGTCAGTAAGCATTGCCTCAAAACGCTTGTCAATCTTGATTTTATTTTTCTTGATGGGCATTTCATTAAATATTGGATTTTTGGCAAGGTCGAGAAGAAGATCATCTTTGCCAGATAAGGCTGATTTTTTATTTAATTTTTTGTTTTTGGGCATTTTCTAAAATATTTTTAAAGAATCAAAAAATTAAAAGTTAAAAATATGAAAATGAAACCAACAAGTCAAACAAAGAATTTTGATTAAAATTTTAAATAAACTTTATCAACAATTTAAGCAATAACAAAATACAAGACTTATCATTTGTATTCTTCATTCACGAAAGTTCCATCCCTGTAAAAAGCTTGTCTGCCAAATTCTCCGTCTTTTTCACTGAAAAAGCAATTTAAAGAATTAAGAGCAAAATTCAAAGGTCCAGTCGGTGGTTGTATGTATTATATACTTATTCATTGAGGACGCCTAATAGTAATGAATGCCTTTGAAATTTTTGAGGGGAACGCGAGTTTTCACATTTTTCCTATATTTTTTTCAAAATGACCAAATAACAGCCCAAAAGAAATAAAATGAATACCCATTTTCCTTCGTTGTTTCTTCCTTTTCTTTAATGCTTGTTTCATTACTTTTCCAACTTGTGAATTTCCATCTGTATTTTTCAAAACTTCAGGTGACACAAAAGCATTCTTGTCTTCACAAAATTTATTATTTTTATTCTGATCATCCACTTCCATTTCCCCATCATTCACTTCACTTTCATCAATATTTACTTCCATATTTCCATCAGAAATTGGTAAAGAAGCATCATAAGCAGAGGCAGAAACCATTCTTTGGTCAGGCAATGCTAATAAATTATAAAAATATTTTTAAAAAAAATTTCCGATTTCAAACTCACAATCCACCAAAACACGAATGTTCTCCTCTAAATTGTCCAAATCAAATTCCTTTACAAATTCTGACACCAACTCAGGTTGAAATTCCGAGACAATTTGTTGTTCTGGAGGTTCAGTGAAATAATGTAATTTCCCACTGTTCCAGTCATTTAAGACCTCAAAAATTTTTATTTAAATTTAAAAAAATTTCAAATCAAAAACCTGTTTTGCAGCTGCATTCAAATCGGGCCTTCCACCCTTCTTCATACGTCCAGAACGTTTTGCAAGTAAAGCCAAAAAACTATCACAATCATCAAATTCAGGAATATTATAATGGAGCATTAACTATTAAAATGTTTTATTTTAAAATTCAAAAATAAATTTTTTAGACCATTTTAACAGAACAACGTCGAAGAACAGCTTTAACTGGTGTACATGGATCAGAAAGTGTTTCAACTCTGACAGCGTTTTTAAGCGCTAATTCAGCCAAATCAAAACTTTCGCCGTTCTTTTTTGATTCCAACACAACACCAGGAGAGTCAATTAAACAGATGTGTTTGTCCAGTTGAATTTCTTGCATTTGCCTAAATTTATGGGAAATTATTCTTAAAACAAATCACATTAAAAAATGTTTAAAAAATTTCCGAACCTAGTCAATCCTGGTGTTGCACCTGTCTGACACGAACGTTTCCTTTTCAGACTGTTTATCACACTGCTTTTTCCAACATTTGGAAAACCTAAGTGAGTTTATTTTTCACAAAAATAATTTAATTGTTTACCTATCACGCCAACACGAATAGAAGTTTTTATATCTTTAACACGGCAATAATTTCCCAAAAGTTTCATTACCAAATCAGCACCAACACATTTAGAAGAATTTGAAGCTGACAACAAATTTGAATGAGAAAATCGCCCCTAAATTTTTATCGAAATTATTTAAAAAAGAGTTAAACAAGAAAAACCAATTTTTGAGTTTGTTCTTGAACTGAAGCTTTAAAGGCTATTGTAGGTAAATGATTTCGAAAATACAAAAGCCATTTCTTTACGTTCTCCTTCGGTACCAAATCAATTTTGTTTAACAACAAAACAAGCCGTTTGCCTTTATCAATAACGAGCTTTTCAATTTTGGGGCTGCGACTTCCAATAGGATCGCGAGCATCAAGAACCTTGAAATTATAAATAATTTTTCTGAAAAAAATGGAGGTTCCTTTTAGAAATCAAAATTCGAGGATTGGATGAGAAAAAATCAATTTGCAATGAAAGAAAACGGACTTAATCCCTTCACCTGTTTTCTTGGTTCCAAAAAGTTAAAAAACCTCGATGAGAATATCCGCATTTTCGATTGTTTTTCGCACTTCAGAAGCGTAAGTTCTCGCCGACTTTCCATCACTTTCAACAATTTCAGGCAATGAGTCCACGAGATATTGATCGTGTGCAGATTCGAAGAGTTCCTAGAAAAGGGAAGAAATAATCAAAATAATTATTTTAGGAAAACATGCCTCAAAAAAACTCGTCGGAATAAAAGGGTCAAAAACTTAGAGAACTGCTATTTTCAAATTTTTATCAAAATTACCTAGTATATCTCCTTTAAATTGCTCCTAAATTTAAGTCTTTATAAAATCAACCAACTCGATGATTTTCAGCCTTTTTAACAAATTCCTCCAAAGACTTCTTTACTTCCTTATTCACTTGTTTTCCACTCTTTTTTAATTTTAAAGACGCTTTAACTTTAAGTTTCTTTTCTCGTGCGTCATCTTTAATTTGTTCACGTCTTGTCTCCGCTTCTTTTAATAAATCTTCCTTAAACGGACATTTGCCTGGTACTGCAATAGATTTTTCTCCTTTCCTTCCTTTCTTTTTTGCTGAGGCTAAAATTAAAAAATAACACATGAAATTTTGACAAAAATAAACCTTTATCCAATTTTTTGATCTTCTTTGAATGTTCACGAACTTTGCGTTGAATTTTATACTTCTTTTTGCAAGTCAAACGTCTACTGGGTTTCTCTAAAATTGTTTACGATTCAATTATTTTAAATAGGAAAACTCACTTAAGCAATATTTTGCCATTTTTCTAACTAAAAATATAAAATTTCGACAAAAATCTAAGAACAAGATTATAAATTTGATCGAAAATAATCTGTCAGATATTAAAACTGAATCATACATGATAAAAAATAAAAACAAAAAAATTAAATTTTTATCAACAAGAGCAAAAAATTTTTTTTCAACATTTACAAAAATTAACACTATACGGCAAATCATTGACGGGCGGCTCGCGCGGCTTCCTTGTTTACATTATTATACGTCGTGACGAGACGACTGACAGACCCACGAACACCTAATTTGAAAAAAATTTTTTTTGATTGTTAGCAAATTTTTTGTAAAACTATTGCAAAAATTTTAAAATTAACCTTTCCCGAATAGTCTCCACAGCAAATAATCAATAAATTCCCAAGCGGAATTGTTGAGCATATTGAAGATATTTTCGAAGAGAGGAGCCAGTATTTCTACCTTGGTAACATAGTCATTCCTCAACTAAATAGCAAAAATTGTCAAAAAATATAAAAAAAAACAAGCATTTTTCGCTCCTGTGTAAACATCAACTTTTGGCCAACCTTGAACATCCTGCAATACAAAAATAATATATTAAAAAACATTTTTAATAAAAATCACTAAACAATCATTCAAAAACAAAAATTAGGTCCCAAGATTTTAAACTTACTGCAAGTAAAAGATCCAGTCCTCTAAGATCATTTGAAAAGTGATGAAGGCGCAAATAAATATCTAAAAATTAAAATATATTTTTAGAATTCGTTTGTATCTGCCAGATACACAAATAGAAGCTGATTCTAGAGGTAAATCGGAATTAAGTTCAGCTATCCGAAGTTTTTTCATACCCCTTATTTTAATGAAAAGTAACAAACCTCCAAAAATATGGGTAAATTTTGGCAAATGTTCAGCTTCCAGATTTCCAGCGCATGCAGGAGCCTTCAAACGAGTCAAGTCATCTTTGATTTGTGTAAAAATGGCAATACATTGCGTTTTTTCCTAAAGAAAATTTTTATTAAATTATTTTTAGATCAATTTATTTTATGGTTTTAAAATTTTTGAAAATTAAATTATTCCCGTATAGTGATAATTTAATTTATAATTTAACTCAACTTACAGTTCTTAACTTAATTATCCAGATTTTTTGGAGTTTAAAAATGAAATAATCAAACAATCTAGAAATTCTAGTGACCGCCCATTTTTCATTAAAAGGAATAAAGTTAATAATTTCTGATGACAATTCTGCTGGCAAAAATGCTTTGTTTTTGGTTTTAGTTGAGTAAATGTTAACAATCGGTATCCATAATTCTAGGTTTGGTAGATTGTTTGTTTTTGATTTACATGATTGACATTCTTCTTCCTTACTGAACATTTTAAAATTTTTCCACTGTTGACCCTTTTCTCGCTCCCTAAATGGAAAAAGATAAAAAGAAAGCAGAAATAGTGTACAGACCCAAAATACCCCTTGAAACTTGAGTCTTGGTAAGATAAATTATTTTGCGGTTAAGGACGATTCAGTATCGCCGATTCAGTATATGGCCATAACTTTCCTGATATTCGACCGATTCGAATAATTCTCATATCATTCGAAAGGTCTCAAGATTCGACATCTTTTTAATAATTGGCCCGATCAGATTTGATGATCTCAAAAAAAGTTACAGCGTAAAAATTATAGTTCAGAATTTTCTAAAAAAATTTCTTCATTCTTTCAGACTTATTTTTAAAAAGACAAATGAATCGTTTAACAAAAATTCAAATTCTAAACAACATAAATGAAAGAGAATTAAAGCTTGGAATATCAGGGGATTTAGGTAAATTTTTTATTAAACATTTGTATAATTTCTAAATTTTAAGGAAAATCTTGGCATCAAAAATACAAAAATTCAGCATGGATTTATGTTGGAAATCTTCCTTATGATTTAAACGAAGGGGATATTCTTTCAGTTTTTTCACAGTTTAATTTTATTTTTTTTTATTTAAAAAACTATTTTTTTCAATTTTTAGATATGGAGAAATTGTTAATGTAAATTTGGTTAGAGACTGGAAAAGTGGGAAAAGTAAAGGATTTTGCTTCGTTTGCTATCAAGATCAACGTTCGACTGTGTTGGCTGTAGACAATTTTAATGGAATTAAATTGCTGGGAAGAGTTATTCAAGTTGACCATATGGAGGAGTATAAAGTGCCGAAATTTAGAGAAAATGTGCCAGAAGAGATACGAAAAATTTGGGAAGAGGGATGTGCTCCTAAACCTATTAATGTGCCGATAGGTATGAATTTATTTAATTTAAAAATCAAAAAAGGGAGGTGAATGTACTCATCTGCTATCTTAAAATATTTTTTAATTTTTGGAAAAAATAACTTTTGTTGGGGGTTTTCTGAACGTTATAATTAGAGAACGAGATTTACAAAAGATCCTGATCCTTGATTTTATGTAAGGGCCTTGATCAGATTCTTGACCTCGAGTCAAGGAAAAATCAAGGAACGATGAAAAATGCCTTGATCTGGACTCTGGATCCAGGAAAAATCAAGGTCTGGATCCAGCTCGCTCTCTAGTTATAATCTTTAGTAACGTAAACAAAAATGTAGGGAACAAAATTTTTTTAAATTTTATTTATGAATCCAAAATTTGATTTAAATTGTATTCAGTGACTTGGGTTAGTCGATTGGAAAAATTAAAATAATTTTTCTGTTTGAAATTATACTCAAGTAAATTGAAAAATTGAAGAATTTTCTTCAGATGGTTCCTTAGTTTTTTTCCTCCTACCTACTAAATAATATAAAACAAAATTTTCGTTTCTCTTTTCAATTAAAAAAATATATTTTTGAACACTAAAAAACACAAACTAGATCAAATTGAATTTTCTCTTAAATTTTTTGATAAATTAGAGGGTTACCTATTTTTTCCTGTTTATTTACTAGCCTAAAAATTTTCCCTAAAATTCAATTTTTAAATTAATTTTAGAAGAAATTGAAGCTGAAGTAAAGCGTGAAAAGAAGGAACACAAAAAGAAATTGAAAAAAATGGATGAATTAATTAAATTAAGTAAAGAAGAAATTAGTAAAGATTTGAAAAAAGCAAGAAAATTGCAAAAGAAGGAAGCTAAAGAATTGAAAAAAATGATGGAAAGGGAAAAAAGAAGACGTGAATTAACACCTGATGAGGAACGTGGACATGCTGATGATGAAGGGAGATGGGATTTGCATAAAAAGAATTTGGAAATTGAACAGGATATGCTTGATGTTTGTTTATTTTTATTTATTTTTTTTGGGGGAATTTTGTATCTTTGAATTTTTAGGGGGGAATTATTATTACTAGGAAAATATTTTTAAATAAATTATTTAATCAAATAAATTGGGAAACCTAGGCTCAGAGTCTCGCTTTTTTTTTATTTTATTAAATTGATCCTTTAGAATATATTTTTCGATATTCCCAAAAGTTTCGGTTGAGTCCATGATGACCCTTTCCAAATCACTAAAAGGGGAATGGCCTCTCAAATAGGGGGAATAAAGGGGACGAAAAAGTCAAAAAGGTGAAAAAACCCCCTAAAGGTGGTAAAAGGGTCACCCTGTTTTAGTCACTTCGTTGAGATTTTTTTATTTGTTTGGTTTAAAATTTTGTTGGTCATAGGGTGGGGGAAAGCTCACTAACTAATACTCTCCAATTTAATACACAACTAATTACAAGATAAAATTTTTTGGAACTTATGCAGTTTGGGTACACACCCCATTTATTCGCAAGCAAAAAATGGTCAAAGTAACCATACTGAGGTCGGAAACATGCTTGGGCATAATTACTCGCATCGTGCGGTGTTAACCAGCACATGTCTCGCAAGAGTCGGGAGCTATTTTGCTTAGTACACTGTAGTAGAGGCCTCTTGCTAGCTCGCGAATAATCGGGTTGATTAGTCAATTCGCCTGATAAATGAGGGGTATCTCGCGAATAAATGGGGTGTGTACCCAAACTGCATAAGTTCCAATTTTTTAGCCTCTAGTGGGGAGAATTTTAAATTATTTTTGCTTCTTATAATTTTTTTAAACAATTTTTTCAGGATTCCAAATTCTACGGACAAAACGATCATTTCAACTTTGGCAAAAAAAGAAAAGAGGACAAAGAACAACCAAAATACAATATTCGCCCAGACTTCGACAAGGCAGATTGGCGTGATATTGAAATATTTAAACATGCAAGAGAATATGAACGTGCAACAAAAGGGGAAAAAGAAGTACATTGGAAGGCAGAAGAACATTATGTTCCAAATCGTATTTTACCTAAAAAATAAATTTTAATTAAAAAATTTTAAAAATTAATTTTGATTTGTATAGAATTTGAATTTATATATTTGGGATAAAATTTTAAATTTAAAAAATTATTTTAAATACTAGATTAAAACATTTTCCCATTACTCTGGCAATATTATTTAATGCTAAACTTTTTTTTGGAAAATTTGTTAAATTTATTATGTCAAATATATATGTACATAATAATTAGGGCTGGGAAAAACATACAAATGCAAGTCTTGTATGCTGATATTCCATGATTTTCCCAGCCCTAATAATAATTTATCTATTCTGACTAAAGAACAAAATGTGGGGCATAAAATGATATTAAGGATCATTGCCTTCAACATGAATTTAATCTCCTGCATTTGTACAACGCGGTCATTGCGACAAAAAACCCAAACCCGTTCGTATTTATTGACTTATTTTACTCATACATATTTTCCCATATAAATATCGATGGTCATTCATTTGACTATCTCATTATGATTTTCATTTTAGTTTTCATTAAAACTTTACTTTTTAGAAAAATAAATTTTAAATAAAGATGAAGACAATTAATTTAAAATTTGATTGGACAATTGAAGGTCTAAAAAAGCTTCACAAAAATCTATCCAACTCTACCTATAAACCACTTCAATTAACAAGTAATTTCACAAATTTTAATAAAAGATTGGACAAAATTTTTAGGTGAATCATTTTCCAGTCCAGACCTTCCTGAAGTGTCGTGGGAATTACGTGTTGAGCTTAAAAGAGGGGAAGATAATATTAATGTTTGGCTTCGTCAATTGGGGCCAAATAATTCAAAGAGTTATGGAAATACTAAATATAAAATTTATGCGGATACTTTTGCAAGGTGTGATTCTATAGTAGATATTTCTGAGTCTACACACAGATTTGAAGATAAAGAAAAGTTGGGTTTTAGAAGTGTTTCTTTAAACAAATTAATTGGTAATGGTAAGTATGTAGATAAAGAGTAGGGGGTTTCACCGGAAGTTCCGGTATGTTTTTTGGTTCCGGGAACCGGAACTCAAATTGGTTCCGGTTTCGGTCAAAATTTCAGTTCCGGTGACACCCTAATAAAGAGCTGCACGAAAATTGAATTTTGCTTTTAATTGAATGGAAACAAAAAAAATTACATTTTTACTAAACGAAAAGAATCCCAATTTTCACGAATGAAAATCTTCGCGCAGCTCTATGTACAAAAAAGAATAGAAAAACAAAGTTTCTGTAGTTCCAGGTAATTTATACCTTTATTGTGAAGTTGAAATTAATTGTTATGATTCGGTTGATAATTTAAAGAAAAATTATCAGAATATTTTTGAGAAGGGAATATTTAGTGATTGTGATATTAAGGTATTTTTGGAATAAAAATGTAAAAAGAATAATTAATTTATTTAAAAGGTTAGAGATGAGGTTATTAAAGCTCATCGTTGTATTTTGACACAAAATAGTGAAGTATTCCAAAAAATGTTTGAGGAGAATGACATGTTGGACATATCACAAAATGTATATTTTAAATTTAATATTAATTATTAGGGGAATCTAATGTTGAGTGAGAGAAGAAAAATAAAAGATAAATTCTGGCTTGCATTAAAACGCCCAGGCATTGGACTAAAATTTATTAAAATAGGAAGTAAAGGGCATCGACTTTGATATGAACTAAGCTAAAGAAAATTAACGGATTAAGAGGAATTTTGTCCCCTTTTTCTTAAAATTTTTATAAATTAAATGTGGCAGAATCTCCTTTTTATTAATATACTCAATTAGAGTTGTCGGTTTTTGGAAAATCTTCAGATATCCGATACCCCTATACCCAAAATTAAAAAAATATTTCTCAAAAAATTTAGACTGAGATAACAATTCCTGACGTCTCTCCCGAATCTGTTCGTGTTATGGTGGAATTTTTCTATACAGGAGAAATTAAAGGTAAAATCAACGAATAATATTTTTTAAATCATTATTTTAAGCCATATCGGAAAGTAATGTTGATGAGCTTTTTGCTCTGGCACATAAATACAAAGTGGAACCGTTAAAATATGAATGCGAACATTTTTTGTCTTCAAAGATTAGCGGGGATTGGATTGGTTTTTAAATAATCTTTATTTTAAATTTAAATTTAAAAAATTCTTGTTTAAATGATATAAAATCGAAATTTTTTACAACTACTCTCCAAACTGTCATTTAAAATGTATTTATAAATTACATGTTCAATCTACGATACCTTAATTACTTAAAATTTAAACTTTAGTTAAGTATACCTAAAATAGAAATATATTTTTTGATTCATTAAAGATTTACGTTATAACGATATTCCAGTAGACTATTATTTTTAACCGTTTTGCTATACTCGGGGAGATTTGTTTCGAGAAGGGACGTTAAAATCGTTAGTTTAACTTTTGTGTCGATTTATCGGGAAATTTAGTATTGTTTCCTTATTGAATGGCAGACATTCTATTTTCCAATCCCTCCAAAAATAGGGGCATTCAATTGAAGGGACCATGTAATATGGAAATAAAATTATTTTAATTTAAGCAAAACCAAAAATCGGACCGTCGGGAGTGCCTTTTGTTGCTGCACATCCACCTTTCGATCCAAACAATCCTAAACCTCCAAACCTTGGTATAAACTAAATTTAAATTTAAAATATTTTTTTAAATTTTAGATGGGAAAAATATTTTAAAATATTGCAAATTTATTTGTTTGTATAAAGCTGAAATTTTGGAGAAAGTAAAGAGAGAAAATATACTTAATTTTATTTAAAATTTTAATTTCAAGGCTTGTACAAATTATATTCGAGTAATTAAAAATTGGTTTTTAAAAAGTAAAGAATGGGAAGATGTTAAAAATAAATATCCAGAATTGGCTATGAAGTTTTTGGAAATTGGATATTTGGAAATTGGGAATAATACTAATAAATATTTAAATTATCCAATGCATTGATCTAATTTTAAGATTCTTTTGAATGTTTTTATTTATTGTACTTGACTTTTATGATTCTTTTATCAAAATAAATGTTAAACATTTTTAAACAAAATTCTACTTGATAACAATAACTCACACTTACGATTTCCGTGAAAAACTATGTTAAAGACTTGCCGTTCTTTTATCCAATTACCTTTAAACAATAGGAGTAGATTAGAAATAGTGTTTGGATGATTCTTTTCGAGATTATCTATCTCAAATACTCAGAAATAGCAGAATATTGGATTTCAGAACCCGTTACCCGGTCCCGGTTTTTTCAAAATTCCTAGCTCTAATTCTCTCCCTTTTTCTCTCAAAAATGGAGTATTTTATGCGAGAGCTTACAGTAAGTTTATTATAAACGAAAATTTTTAAAAATTATATTAAGTACATTATAGGGCACACTCTAATTTATCTAAAACATGGAATTTTTAAGTTGAATTTGGATTCTTAGAAAATTTTAAAAGAACTACGGGCTGGGGTCTCTACTAACCATACTCGGGGTTACCCTTACCCCTATTTTCGCATAAGGGTTCTGGGTTAACCTACCCGCAGATGAGGGTTAGTTAACCCCTAACTCGTTTTTTGCTTACCGCCCCTGCAAATGAGGTCATTACAGCAAAAGTAAAGCCAAAGCCATTCGTGTGTTCATTGACATTCTTTATTCACTCTATATTTTTTATTCATTCTAGACGATGGTTATTTTTTGACCGTCCCATATTTACTAACCGTTAATTACATGTTGACTTTAATTTTAGTTACACCATTAAAGCTTCTCAATTTAGAAAATAACTCTTTCATAATTTACCTAAATTTAGATGAAGACAATTAATTTTAAATTTGATTGGACAATTGAAGGTCTAAAAAAGCTTCACGAGAATCTCTCTAATAACACTAGACCGATTCAATTAACAAGTAAATTTTACAAATTTTAATAAAAGATTTGACAAAATTTTTAGGTGAATCATTTTCCAGTCCAGACTTCCCAGCAGTGGAATGGGAGTTACGTGTTGAGCTTACTAAAGGAAGCAATAATATTAATGTTTGGCTTCGTCAAATAGGGCCAAATAATTTAAAGGGTTATGGAAATACAAAATATAAAATTTATGCGAATAGTTACGATTCTGTAGTAGATATTGCTGAGTTAAGGGCAACTATTTATTTTAAAAATATTTTTTAAAGATCTACGCACAGATTTGAAGATCAAGAAAAGTTGGGCTGGAGAAGTATTTCTTTGAACAAATTAGTTAATAATGGTAATTAAATAGAGAGTTAATAGAAAAAACAGTTTCTTTGTAGCTCTAGGTAATTTAAACCTCTATTGTGAAGTTGAAATTAATTGTTATGATTCGGTTGATAATTTAAAGAAAAATTACCAAAATATTTTTGAGAAGGGAATATTTAGTGATTGTGTTATTAAGGTATTTTTTGAATAAAAATGTAAAAAGAATAATTTATTTTGAAGGTTAGAGATGAGGTTATTAAAGCTCATCGTTGTATTTTGGCACAAAATAGTGAAGTATTTAAAAAAATGTTTGAGGAGAATGACATGTTGGACATACCACAAAATGTATATTTTAAATTTAATAATGATTGGAGAGGGATAGTTATTTGAATGAGAGAATTTTAAACTAAATAAGCATTGGATTACGCATTGCTTAGTGCTTAGTCATTGGAGTAAAATTTATTAAAGGGGAACAAATAACGAGAGTAGATCATAGCTAGAATGTTAACTAAATTTATTAGTCTACAAAAAGTATTTCAAGAAAAATTGATGGATTTAAACCTTTTCAGCTAAAATTTAGCTGGTCTTGTGCCCAAAACGGGGATACCCAACTTTTGTCTCCTTTATCTTTTTAAATTTCGATTTAAATTCTATGTATTAATATAATGTTTTAATGATAAACTAGAAAATTAAAAATTATTTCTCAAAATAATTTAGACTGAGATTACAATTTCTGATGCTTCTCCTGATTCTGTTAGAGATATGATGGAATTTTTCTATACTGGAGAAATTAAAAGTTAAATCAACGAATAATATTTTTTAAATCATTATTTTAAGCCATATCGGAAAGTAATGTTGATGATCTCTTCGCTATGGCACATAAATACAAAGTGGAACCGTTAAAATATGAATGTGAACATTTTTTGTCTTCAAAGATTAGCGGAAATTGGATTGGTTGTTAAATAATCTTTATTTTAAAAAATAAATATTCTTGTTTAAATTATGTAAAATAAAAATCATCTTTTTTTAATTTTAACACTCCAAACATTTTTTTAAATTTAAAATATAAGTTGTATCTATGTGCCCACGTGACTTAAAGAATCAAAACTTTGTTATGTAATTTTAGACTAGAGATATATTTTTTGTTCAGAAAGCCTCTCTTTAAAAATAGACTCTTGTTAAAGACACTCGACTCGTTATTCAGAAATCTGTTTCATGAAGGGACGTTAAATCTTTATATCTTTATAACCATTTTGCCCGCATCGGGTATTAGGAATTCGTCTTGTTTGTGTATCAATAAAAATTTAATTTAAGCAAAACCAAAAATCGGACCACCGGGAATGCCTGTGGTTGGACATCCACCTTTCCATCCTTGCAATCCTAATCCTCCAGACCTTGGTATAAACTAATTTGTAATTTAAAATATTTTTTAATTTTAGATGGGAAAAATATTTTAAAATATTGCAAATTTATTTGTTTGTATAAAGCTGAAATTTTGGAGAAAGTAAAGAGAAATACACACAATTTTATTTAAAATTTTAATTTCAAGGCTTGTACAAATTATATTCGAGTAATTAAAAATTGGTTTTTGAAAAGTAAAGAATGGGAAGATGTTAAAAATAAATATCCGGAATTGGCTATGAAATTTTTGGAAATTGGATATTTGGAAATTGGGAATAATACAAATAAATATTTAAATTATCCAATGTATTGATAAATATGTACGTATTTTCCAAAAAATGGATTGGATAAAATGATGACTGTTAATTTAATTTTATGAATTTTTAGTCAAACTCTAATATTTTTTTCAATACGCTTCATTTTTATCTTTTCTCCCTCAGAATCCGTGTAATTCTTTTTTATATGGATACTATTACATTCAAATTTAATTGGTCTATTTATGATATTAGAAAGCTTCGAGAGGCTTTATTAAACAGCAGACATCTGCATTTAACAAGTAATTCTGCTTGTTTCTTGAGAATATATTTTTTAAATTTTGTAGGTGAACGATTCTCTAGTTTTGAATTTCCTACTTTGGAATGGGAGTTACATCTAAATTTAGAGCGAGGAACTAGTAAAATTTCAATTTGGCTTCGGCAAATAGGGCCAGATAATGATGCTATTGTGAATACAAGATATAAAATTTATGCAGTAATAAATCATCGAGGAACCGTTTATTTTGAAGAACCTTCTACCACAATAGATATTGCCAAGTTTTAATTATATATTTCTCTAGAATTTTTTATTTGTATTTTAGATCCACATACAAGTTTGAAAAGAGTAATAGAATGGGCTATTCTTCTGTCTCATTAGATAGTGTAATTCAACATGATGGTAAAGAACTTTGATAAAGCTTAAAAGATGGGACTTATTTTTCTAGATTCTTTAAATCTTCATTGTGAAGTTGAATTTGATTGTTATAGTTCAACTCTTGATTTACAAGAGACTTATCTTGAAATGTTTAAAAATGAAACATTGACTGATTTTGTTATTAAGGTTTGGAGAAACGGAATTTTACCTAAATTTATTTTATAGGTTGACGATGAAATTATAAAAGCACATCGTTGTGTTTTAGCACAAAATAGTGAAGTATTCCAAAGAATGTTTGATCAGAATTTAATGGTTGAAGCACAAAAGGTCTATAAACTTAAACCTAAAAACAAATAGAATGACTAGCTCTTTTTCATAGAATAATATTCACAAAAAAATTTTTAGGGAGAGTTAATAATTTCTGATTCTTCTCCTGAATGTGTTCGTGCAATGTTGGAATTTTTTTATACTAAAAAAATTGATGACGGTTTTTATTTGGAATATTTTTTTAATTCATTCTTTCATTTTAAGCCTTAATGGAAAGCCAGGTTGAAGGTATTTTTGCTATTGCACATAAGTATGAAGTGGAGAAGTTGAAATATATATGTGAGCGTTTTATGGCTTCTAAAATAAGTATGGGTTTGATTACGTTAATTTAAACCAATTAATTTTTAATTGCTCTATCAAACATATATTCTTCTAATTAATATGTAAATCCCTAACACACCCCTGCCATATGTAGGCACATGAATTACATCAAAAAATTTTTAATAATAGAAGTCGACATTTAAGAAAATTTTAAGATTTTCCAATAAAGGCCCTATATGGGTATTATTTGAATATATTTGTACTTCTTTTAGATAGCGGCAACATTGTAAAATACTGCAATATAATTACCTTATATGGTGCTCCAACACTGGAAGAGGTATAAATTTAAATTTTTATTCACGTTAATCGTTTTTTACTTTTACAGCGTGTAAAGGCTATTTTCGATTCAATAAAATCTTAAAAACAGTTAACAAGAGATGGGAAGATGTTATGAGAACATGTTTATAATTTTTTGATAAAATTAAAAATAACTAACATATTTTTTGAACTTTTTATTAATTTATTAAACAAATGTTTTTTAGAATGTTTTAGTTTTAGTAAAGCATTTTTCCTCAATTTTTTTTTTCACGTGAAACCGAAACTTGGCTAATTAGGGAAAATTGTAATTCTTGGATTCTTTGTTTTTAATAATTAAGAATCGGGTTTTTAGTTGCAAAAATGAAGAATAAAGTCCGTTCCAAAATAGGTTGACACCCCCTAATTTTTCCGATAAGTCAACTTCGCTCTGTCTAATTTTTGTAATTTTATTAAATATTGATTCAGCATCGAAAATGACCCTATTTTACAAAAAATTTTAGATAAGCAAAAATTTTATCGAAAGTTATGAAGGTTTTTCGAAAAATGAGGTGTTCCAAAATACATTGAACAGTTTGTAAAACCTAACAAAAAAGCCCTTAAACAATTACTAAAAATGAAATAAAAAATTCTATGAACATTTCCATTGATATTGAGCTAAAATAAAAAAGAACGAAGTCTTTAACTTCTTTCTCCATCGAGATCTCAAATCTCGAAAATCAACGGGAAATCGGAGTACAGTACTTCAAAAAATATTTTAACCCCCTTATTTTAACCCCCTTATATTTTAACCCCCTTCCCCCAAACTTTATCAGAGATATCTTGTATAGATTTATTAACCCCAGATGAAAAAATTCGTATTATTTTGATTTATAGATCAATCACTAAAGAAACCATTAAGGATTTTAAATCTATCTTGCAAATCTTGTATGATATATCGGCTGTATCCTACCCACTTATCTTATTAGGAGACTTTAACCTACCCAATATCGATTGGGAAAATTATAGTACTCAAACCAAAAATACCAAAGAAACATTATTTTTAGAATATATTCAAAGTTTAGGACTAAAACAAAAAATTGATAAACCCACTAGAGGAGTAAATATATTAGACTTACTATTAACTAATGAGGATGAATTAATAAAGGCTATAACAATCAATCCGCCTATAAGTAAATCTGACCATAATACAATAGAATTTGAAATATCTTCTACTAACAATTACCAAGATAATAATTATACATATCCAAATTTTCGTAAAGCTAACTATGAAATAATTAATGCACATTTCTCAACAATAAACTGGAATCTAGTATTCACACAATGCTCTGATATAAATCAACTATATTTCACTTTCCAATCGATTATACATAATGTTATTTGTTCCTTTGTTCCCGAATCTAAAGTAAAATCTAACAATCTCAAAAAACCCGAACACATTGAAAAAATGACATTATATCTAAAAAATCTGTGGAAACAAAAATCCACGCCAGAGCTAACACGTAAAATCTCATATGTATCAAAAAGAATAGATTCTGAAACTAACAAATTTTTAAAAAATAGAGAAAAGCATAAAACACAAACTATCAGTCAAAAATTCTCATACATCTCTTCATTTCTTAAATCCAAAAACAGGAAAATAACTTCAATTTTGGATAAAAATAATCAATTAGTATACGCTGATAATAAAATAGCACAAATTCTAAGTACCCAATTTAGTTCTGTATTTAATAAAAATTCATTAGACAATGCAGATCTAAACTCTATAACAAATCAAAATACATGTCAATCCGTAATCATAAATGAACTTCAAATCTTTGATCTTCTTTCTAAGCTACCTGAAAAAACTAACTCTTCTTATGACTCAATACCATGTATATTCCTTAAAAAATGCGCTAAAAGTCTTTATTATCCTTTATATTATATTTTTTCTTATTCATTAATGACTTCAACACTTCCTGAAATATGGAAGCAAAGTATAATAATACCAATACCAAAAACATTAAAGATACCCAAAATAGAAGAATTTCGCCCAATTTCATTACTATGTTCAATCACAAAAGTAATTGAACAAATTATTGCAAACCATATATCAATTTATGTTGAACAAAATGGTATATTACCAGATTGTCAACATGGATTCAGACCAAACAAATCCGTCACTACCCAACTAATTGAGGTTCAAGATGATATATCATTTGCATTGGATAATAAAAATTTAATAAACATAGTTTATTTCGATCTAGCTAAAGCCTTTGATTCTATACCCCATGAACGTCTTTTAACAAAACTAAAAGTAATAGGAATTGAAAAATCACTCTTAAAATGGATCTCTAATTACTTACACAACAGAAAATCTGTTGTTAAAATAGGAAATGAATATTCTGAACAATTCTCTATTACTAGTGGAGTTCCGCAAGGATCTATCTTAGGCCCGCTCCTTTTTAATATATACTTATCGGACTTACCAACATTCTGTTACACTCCTGAAATAAAAATAAAATTATTTGCCGATGACATCAAAGCCTATCAAATTCTAAAAAAAACCGATTTATCTAACAATTCTTTACAATTATTTATTAATAAATTCATTCAATATTGTAACACCAATGGTCTCAACATATCATTAAATAAATGCTCAGTATTATATATAGGTAAATCAAACCCTAAATTACAATACTCAATAGGAAACCACAAAATATTCCAAATTAGTAATGAAGACAAGAATAGGGATCTCGGAATTTTCTTCACTTCTAAATTCAAGTTTAATAAACATATTCAAACAATATCTCTAAGGGCCAATAGAAACTGCTATGCATTAATTAAATCTCTAAAATCACAAGATCCTAAAATTCTTATAGAAGCATTTAATATATACGTAAGGTCAATTATAGAATTTGGGTCACCGGTTTGGAATTCTTTAACTAAGAAAAACATTAAATTAATAGAAAACATACAAAAACGATATTTAAGATTTGTTTACAAAAGAATCACAAAGGTAAAAATAGAAGATATTCCACCATACAAAACACTTTTACAACATTTCAAAGTAGAATCCCTTGAAAGTCGAAGACTTAAAGCTGATTTAAAGCTATTTCATCAAAATATATTTGGGAAAATTAAAATTAACCATAATAATTCCTATATCATAAAACAAACAAAAACTAGGGGCGAAAAATATAAAATACAACCAACACGTTGTTCAACCATGATTCGGTACAACTCCTTTTTTGTTCGAACTGCTAGAATTTATTCACTAATTCCTATAGAAATTAAAAAAAATACACCCAAAATGTTTTCTAAACTTCTTGAACAGTTGGATATTTCCAATATCTTAAATGACAAATGAGATAATTTTATTTGCTAAGCTGCTTTGATTTTTATTTTAAGGACATTTTTTATTAGCATTTTTATTTTTCGTAATTTCACTTTAAATTGTTTTATTTTTGACTGTCACACCCTAGTGGTGTAAATAAATAAATAAAATAAATAAAATAGAATAATATTCACAAAAAAATTTTTAGGGAGAGTTAATAATTTCTGATTCTTCTCCTGAATGTGTTCGTGCAATGTTGGAATTTTTTTATACTAAAAAAATTGATGACGGTTTTTATTTGGAATATTTTTTTAATTCATTCTTTCATTTTAAGCCTTAATGGAAAGCCAGGTTGAAGGTATTTTTGCTATTGCACATAAGTATGAAGTGGAGAAGTTGAAATATATATGTGAGCGTTTTATGGCTTCTAAAATAAGTATGGGTTTGATTACGTTAATTTAAACCAATTAATTTTTAATTGCTCTATCAAACATATATTCTTCTAATTAATATGTAAATCCCTAACACACCCCTGCCATATGTAGGCACATGAATTACATCAAAAAATTTTTAATAATAGAAGTCGACATTTAAGAAAATTTTAAGATTTTCCAATAAAGGCCCTATATGGGTATTATTTGAATATATTTGTACTTCTTTTAGATAGCGGCAACATTGTAAAATACTGCAATATAATTACCTTATATGGTGCTCCAACACTGGAAGAGGTATAAATTTAAATTTTTATTCACGTTAATCGTTTTTTACTTTTACAGCGTGTAAAGGCTATTTTCGATTCAATAAAATCTTAAAAACAGTTAACAAGAGATGGGAAGATGTTATGAGAACATGTTTATAATTTTTTGATAAAATTAAAAATAACTAACATATTTTTTGAACTTTTTATTAATTTATTAAACAAATGTTTTTTAGAATGTTTTAGTTTTAGTAAAGCATTTTTCCTCAATTTTTTTTTTCACGTGAAACCGAAACTTGGCTAATTAGGGAAAATTGTAATTCTTGGATTCTTTGTTTTTAATAATTAAGAATCGGGTTTTTAGTTGCAAAAATGAAGAATAAAGTCCGTTCCAAAATAGGTTGACACCCCCTAATTTTTCCGATAAGTCAACTTCGCTCTGTCTAATTTTTGTAATTTTATTAAATATTGATTCAGCATCGAAAATGACCCTATTTTACAAAAAATTTTAGATAAGCAAAAATTTTATCGAAAGTTATGAAGGTTTTTCGAAAAATGAGGTGTTCCAAAATACATTGAACAGTTTGTAAAACCTAACAAAAAAGCCCTTAAACAATTACTAAAAATGAAATAAAAAATTCTATGAACATTTCCATTGATATTGAGCTAAAATAAAAAAGAACGAAGTCTTTAACTTCTTTCTCCATCGAGATCTCAAATCTCGAAAATCAACGGGAAATCGGAGTACAGTACTTCAAAAAATATTTTAACCCCCTTAGGGCATAAATGAAAATTTTCTTTTAGGCCTATCTGAAAGCCCATAAAATTTGCTACAAAATAGCGCAGGCTTAAATTTCAGCATAAAGAACACATGTAGATAATGTTCGAGGAATTTTTAAGTGATAATTTTTGGGGTATTTTGGAGGGTTTTGAGCATTTTTATAGTTAAGTGGACATACTTCAAACAGATATATTTTAGAAAAGCTAAGTTCCGGACTATTTTGTAGCAAATTTTATGGGCTTTCAGATAGGCCTAAAAGAAAATTTTCATTTATGCCCTAAGGGGGTTAAAATATTTTTTGAAGTACTGTACCCCGATTTCCCGTTGATTTTCGAGATTTGAGATCTCGATGGAGAAAGAAGTTAAAGACTTCGTTCTTTTTTATTTTAGCTCAATATCAATGGAAATGTTCATAGAATTTTTTATTTCATTTTTAGTAATTGTTTAAGGGCTTTTTTGTTAGGTTTTACAAACTGTTCAATGTATTTTGGAACACCTCATTTTTCGAAAAACCTTCATAACTTTTGATAAAATTTTTGCTTATCTAAAATTTTTTGTAGAATAGGGTCATTTTCGATGCTGAATCAATATTTAATAAAATTACAAAAATTAGACAAAGCGAAGTTGACTTATCGGAAAAATTAGGGGGTGTCAACCTATTTTGGAACGGACTTTAGGTTGCAAAGAAAAGTCGACAATGTGTTAAAAAAAAGAAAAATGCGGATAATTTCATTTTTTGTTTAAAAATTTCATCTGTAAAATAAACAATAATTCCCCGTAAACAAAAGATTTTTTGAAATAACAACGGATTTGAGCTCAATTTATCATGACAATTTCGCAAAAAACCCCTAAAAATCAGATCTATATGACTAAAACTGATTTTTCTTAAGTATTAATTTATTTTTGTTTTTTGAGTTATTTCTTTCCTAGAATTTAAATATCTTATAGAAATGGTTCAATTTATTAGACAAAGTGCATAAGAATTCTTGGAAATTCTAGGATCCTACAGAAATGTTCGGATATCGGGTCTTTTTTCGGATACTGATATCCGCATCCGCCAACCTTAGTTGGTTCGGAATGCCAGTGATTGCACCTTTTGTCTCTGCAATCATTAACCGCCAAACCTTGGTATATCCCAGTTCTACATATAATTCAAACCATTTATTTTTTAAATATTAAAAATATATATCCAGAATTGGCTATGAAGTTTTTGGAAATTGGATATTTGGAAATTGGGAATAATACAAATAAATATGTAAATTATCCAATGTATTGATAAATATGTACGTATTATTTTTCAAAAAATGAATGATTAGTTTTTTTCTTTATTAATTATACTTAACTCCTGTCTTTTAAACAAAATAAAAGTTTAAACATTTATTAGAAGAAATTTTTACTTGGTAGTCTTACTTTAATGTTTTTTCCCATTTATTCAAACTATTCCCTCAAATTGTCCTTTAAACGGTGTTTTCAACATTTCCCCGAAACATTATTTGAATTTATTCTTTATATTTTCTTATTTACCGCTTAAATAACTCAAAGATCAATCTTATATTTAATCCTTCTTTACTTCCCACCCTTTACTACTCATATAAATAGCTTGTTGGATTTCTCATTTATGGCTTTATTTTGTAGTTGTCTTAATTTCAATAAATAGTTCAATTTGTTAGACATATTTAATTAGATACTCATTACTTTGAGAGAGTTCAATCTAAATATATTAGGCCTGGGTTATAAAGTTTAAAATGAATCTTTTTAAGATTATGAATCTTAAGTAGTAGAGCCCGGACCGATTCGATTTTTCGATATTGACCAAGCCCACTCACCGTCCATCTTTAATCTTAAGTACCCATAATACAAAATATCAAAAGGTTGGCTTAGCTGAATAAGCTCTTGATCCTAAGAGCTTTCCGAAACTAATAACCATTTTTGAGATCTTCCTACCTGAAAATTTCTTTTAGATGAAAACTATTACATTTAAATTTGATTGGTCTATTTACAATATTAAAAAGATTAAAGACGCTTTATCTTTCAGCACACATCTACATTTGACAAGTAATAATTTTGCTAGTTTGTTTGAATATGTATATTTTTTTTAAATTTTGCAGGTGAACGATTTTCCAGTTATGAATTTCCTACTCTGGGATGGGAGTTACATCTGGTCCTAGGATTTGACGAAGCTGTTTGGCTTCGTCAAATAGGACCGGATAATACAAATACTTTTGTGAATACAAAATATAAAATTTATGCAGGGAAATTTCCAGCATACACAGTGATCGCCAAGTTTTAATAATTTCTCTAAAATACCTTTATTTCCTCCTTAGATCCACATACAAATTGGAGAAGAATGATAAGATGGGATATTCTAATATTTTATTAGAAGATTTAACTCTAGATGATGGTAAATATGATAAAAACTTAAAATATGAAAAACCTTTCTAGGTTCTTTACATTTTCATTGTGAAGTCGAGTTTGACTGTTACAATTTAACTCTTGATTTGCAAAAGAATTATCGTAAAATTTTTGAAAATGAAACATTGAGTGATTTTGTTATTAAGGTTTGGGATTAGATGAAATTTTAGAGAAACGGAATTTTACCTAAATTAATTTAACAGGTTGACGATGAAATTATAAAAACACACCGTTGTGTTTTAGCACAAAATACATAGTGTAGTTTTCCAAAGAATGTTTGAGCAAAATTTAATGATTGAAGCACAAAAGGTATACAATTTATGAATATAAAAATGATTAAGCTGTGTGCTTTTTAGTTTCGATTATAACTCGACAGAAATGTCTGAATGTTATGGTTTTGGTATACCGTAATTGCTCCAATTAAAGCCAAGGTCGTCTATATTTCAATGGGTCACTTTGGATAGGCTTATACTATTAGATATGACCTGGCTTTAGTTAGAGTATTTACTGTATTTTAAAATGTCGATAAAGTTGATTTTAAACATCCTTCAGTCTAAACAGTAAAAAATATTGTCAACATTGATATTTTAATTTTTTAGGGTGAGTTGATAATTTCTGATTCTTCTCCTATATATGTTCGTGCAATGTTGGAATTTTTTTATACTGGAGATATTAAAAGTTTAGTCAAAAAAATATTTTTAGATTTATTTTTTAAATTTAAGCCCTATGGGAAAGTCATGTTGAAGGTATTTTTGCTCTTGCACATAAATATGAAGTGGAGAAATTGAAATACAAATGTGAGCTTTTTATGGCTTCACAATTAGGTATGGATGATTTTCACTAATAATAGCATTAATTAGACTGCATAGATTTTAAAAAATTAATGAGAATCTCAATTTTGGATTGGATATGATGAAAAATTTAGTCAAATTGCTTCGAATTTTCAATAATTTTTATAACAGTATTAATGGAGATTTACTAATATAAGTTGAAATTTAAGAAATCCAAACTAATTTTTTCAATAAAGGCCCTGTGTTATTGTGTTATTTGAATAAAATTTAATTTCTTTTAGATGGCACAAACGTATTAAAATGCGTAAAAATAATTAGCTTATATGGTGCTCCAACACTTGAAAAAGTATAAATTTCAAGTTTATTTACGTTAATCATGTTTTATTTTTACAGCGTATAAAGGCTGCTTATGAGTGAATAAAAGCTTAACAACAATTAACAAGAGACGAGAAGGTGTTATAAGAACGTGTTTACAATTTTTGTTGATAAAATTTAAAAAATTCCTAACGTGTCTATTTTTTATTTTTAATTTATTAAATAAATATGTATGTATCTCTTATTAAAATTTTTCCATTTATAATAAAACATTTTTCTATAATTTTTTTCACAAGAAGTCGAAACTTGGGTAATTGGGGAAAATTGAAAGTTCAGATTTTCTTGTTTTCAACAATTTAGTTTTACTGATAATAATCTGCAGTTTGACTTATTTTTCTTTAAAAATTTTTAAAATATCGTTTAGAAATTGTTAAAGTTATTAAATAAGGTGTATAAAATTTACTTTTGTACACAAAATAAAGAATTTTTAAACAAATTTTAAATTTATATTCTTTATTAACTTTGGCATTATGTTTGGCATTATGTCTTTTTTAATTTTAAATTTTTTGTCATTTCATCTGTGTGATATTTTCTGCAAACAATGTTAAGCGGAAGATCATTTTTTCAGCTTGAAAGCGAAAAAATTTTGTTTTTTATTGTTTTATAGCAGTTTTTATGACTAACATTTTTCGTTCTTAATTTTAAAAGACTTCTTACTCGTAAAATTTTTCATTCGCTTATTTAGATGAAGACTATTACAACAAAATTTGAGTGGACTGTTTACGATATTAAAAAGATTCGAGAGGTTCTGACTTATGGCAAATCTCTGCATTTGACAAGTAATTTTGCATGCTTTCATTTATTCGGTTTTAATTTTTCAGGTGAACGATTTTACAGTGCTGAATTTCCTATTGTTTTTTGGGAGTTGCATATTAATTTAATAAAACTTGAATATAATAATATTTATATTTGGCTTCGCCAACTGGGACCAGATAATATAAATGCTTTTGTGAATACAAAATATAAAATTTATGCAGCGAAAAAACATAATCACCAATTTACTTACGTTGATATTGCCAAGTTTGAATTATCTCGAATGTTTTATTTTTCTTTTAGATCAACATACAAGTTTGAAGGACAGAGTGAAATGGGATATTCCTTTGTTTCATTGGACAGTGTGGTTCAAGTTGATGGTAAAAAGCTTTATGATAATTAAGCCTATAAAAATTATATTTTTAGGACTTTTACGTCTTCATTGTGAAGTCGAATTTGATTGTTACAGTTTAACTTACAATTTGCAAGATACTTATCGTAAGATGTTGGAAAAGGAAACATTTACTGATTTTGTTATTAAGGTTTGGGATTAGATTTTTAATAAAATTTTAGAATTGTGAGGGCACTTTGGAAATAAAAGTAAAATTTCTTAAAACAATTTTTATAACTTGTCAGGCATTCTAGTTTCATAGTTTTGATAATTTGAGTTGTAAAGTTTTCGCCAATTCTGGGAAAAATTCCCCGTTTTGCTAAATCAATTACTAATTCTATCAATTATTGTATTAACAGGTTGATCACGAAATTATAAAAACACATCGTTGTGTTCTAGCACAGTATAGCGAAGTATTCAAAAGAATGTTTGATCAAAGTTTAATGACTGAAGCACAAAAGGTAAAGTGATGTCCAGGGAATGAGCTGTGCAAGTTAGATATCAGGGATTGAATAGCTGGGGATTTGGTCTTCCAAAACTTGGATTTTTTTTCGTTTCGATTAACAGAAGAATTTGGCAGAATTTAATCGAAAAATTTGGCGAAACCGCACCCCTACTTAAAATAAAAATTTTTTAAAATGTGCTAGCAAAAATTTTTTTAAAAGTTCCGGTTCCGGGCCGGAACTTTGAAAAGTTCCGGTTCCGGTTCCGGGAACCGGAACTTAAATTGGATCCGGTTCCGGTTCCGGTCAAAATTTCGGTTCCGGTGAAACACTAACCGATTGCATTTAGCCTTTCCTATTTTGTCTTTTCCCGCGTAAATCGTCTTTAATATGTATAAATAGTATTTATACATATTAAAGACGATTTACGCGGGAAAAGACAAAATAGGAAAGGCTAAATGCAATCGGTTATCTAGATTAAAAATAAAATTATATTTAGTTTTTGAGACATAGTATATTCTCGTTAACTCAATCTCAAACCTCAATCTTCATCGGGAGATCAAATTTTTGAAGTTTTCTTAATTAAATTTTAATTTTATTAAAAAAATTCTTTTTTTTAATTTTTTAGAACCCGTTTAATTTTACATATCACAATTTATTAATTAAATATAATAAATTCTATTTTATTCCACAAGCATCATTTTCTTCACCTTCATCTTTTCTTCTATACATTTGATGGCGTTTATATTGCTCAAAATGATTCTAAATTAATTTCTTTATTTTTTTAAAAAATAAATTTTCTTGCCTCCCATTCTGGCATATAATCATTTTCCCATCTATCCATTTGTTGCTTCCATTTAATAAAAGATTCTCCCAAATCAGCTAAATTTAGGAAAATTCTTATATTTTTTAATTTTATTTATTAAGGTTTTTTTGGTTCACATTTCCCTGTTGGAATAATTAGAGTATATCTTCCTTAAAATTCAGTTCAAATTCCTAAATTTTGCAAATTTCTCGTCTCTCTGCAAAGATTAGGAAGAAACTGATTTTTTAAATAAAAGTCTACTGTGTTGTTCTCCCTCCCCACAGAATTACCCAAAATAATTATTGGAAAATGGTATTATAAAATAAGTAGTAAACTACATATATGGGGGGGGGTCCACTCCAAAAGAGCTACACCCTAAAGACCTGTTGACCTGCTGATCAAAATGATGTGGGTCTTCTGTGATGTCTTTGGAGTGTAGGGCTTCTGGACTGACCCCAACTACATTACACAGCCTTTTTTTATTAAATAATTTTTAAAAAATTTACCAGAAATAGAAATTAATTTTGGAATAAATTTCCAAAAATTGCAATGTTTTCTTCTTGGACCAGTGCCTATTCGTTTAGCACCTTTCTGTATATAATCTGATTCTATTGTTAAATTTATATATTCCATAGTTTTTGAATTATATGGAGGCCAATCAGAAATATAAGAATTGTCTGGATTGCGGTTTGGGTCGCCTGTACGTGCAAAATTTGCCCAAAAACGCATAAAACGAGAACCTTTAAAAATTAAATTTTTATTAAGGAAAAATATAATAGGTTAGAGTTGGGTTAACGGATTCTGGGAAATCCCTGGATATCTGGATCCGATATTCGAACCGAAATTTTCGGAGATCCGGCCATTTTTTGACGAATACACAGATCCGCCAACTCTAATATAAATTATATTCAAATTCCACATACTCAATTCTTGTTCTTCTTTTGTGTATTTAAATTGTTTCCGATTATAAGGTTCACCAAAAATAAAATTAATTTCGTAACCGTGCAGAACGCCTATAACATTTTCATTCAATAAAGATATTTTGCTATAATTTTACCCATCCATTCAGGCCAAGTTTGTTGAGATGCCCGATGTGAAAACCTTTAAAATTAAAAAGTAATTATTTTTAAATTTAAAATAAATTACATATAATAATAAGTATCTGCTCCATGCTCACTATGTGCCAAAGCAAATTCACTTAAAAATTTAAGGCTAATTTTCTTTTTATTATAAAGTTAATTAATTTATGTGAATTAGTCATTTATTTTTTTATTAAAAAATCTGAATTATTTTTGTTAAATTTTTGTGAATATTGCTATGTAGTAAAATCAAAAAAAAATTTTTTAAATCAAGATTAAAATAAAGATAAATACAATTAATTTAAAAAAATTTAAAATTAAAAATACTATTCACTAAAAACATCTTAAATCTAAACTACTAATTAATAATTTATTAAAATATTTAATTTTCAGATTTCTTTTTTCAATTTACACCACAAAAAATCCACTTACTTAACATTACAAGTAAATAAAAAATCTCCAAGCATTTTATCAAGACTGAAAAATTTTTTTAAATAAATTTTTTACTTTCAATTTACCTATCTACCCAATGTTTCGATTCTATAGGTAAACCTTCAGGTTCATAATAATTTAAAATTGATTGTAATGCAAGGGATGATTTTAATATCTTTTTTTAATTAATATTTAATTTAAATTTTAATTATACTTGTCTTGGAAGTAAACTAGAAACACTTTTAATCCAAACATCTCTACTTTTTATAAAGTCCCTTAAAAATAAAAATTCGAAATTATTTTTAATTTTTCACTTTTTCTCAAAAAATTCTGCAGGAGGGAATACATCCTGTATTGGGAAAAAAAATAATATATTAATTTAAATTTATAATTAATAATAAGGGTAAAGCCTTATAAAACTTATAGATTTTAAAAATCTAATTTGAATTAGGGTTGGCCATAACTGATTACTAACCCCGGTTTTTGGCTTTGAGTTTTAGTCAAATACAGATTTTATTTTCTGGGAGGTGAGGGGGGGGTGTTTTAAAAACCACTCATTTTCATAAATTTCAGGTTTTTAAAATTTCAAAAAAACATTCAAAAAATTCAAAAAATAATTTTGGTATAGTGATTAGAAATATATTGAAAAATTCAAGGCTCCGTGTCCCCAAAAAGTGTCATTTTTACAAATGCCCAAAGACCCCCAAAGTTTATTAAATTTAATTAAACTTTACCGCTAATTGATAGACAATAAAATAAATTGCCTTAAAAATAAAAAAAAAGTTTCTAAAATTTTCTTTTAATTTTCTAGCCTCATCAAAATTACTTCCAGCCAATAATTGTGTTTTCTTAAAATTTCCTCGTTTTAAGGAAGTTTCTATATTTTCTACAAGAAATTCTCCATCGATAACAGGCACCCAAGGAAAGTCTGCAAATTCCATTACTGGACTCCATTCTGAGTCTCTTTAAATTAAAATAAAATTTTTAAAATTATTTTTTAATATTTTTAAAATTTTAAAAGTAATGTTGCTGATAAATTTAAAAATAAATCGAAAATAATAAAAAATGTATAGGGGTGTGCTTATAAGGGTATGAATAGGTGTTCCTTCAATTAGAGACTGTGGTGCCTTTATTTTTCGATCCTGTCATAGGGTGTGCTTGCATTAGAGATGTGTTTTTATTAGAACATTTACGGTAGGTTATTTAAGAACACCTAAGTTTATCAGCAGATGCCTCATGCAAACATCTCAAAACCTCGTCCATATTCCATTGGTCTGGGGCTAAATGAGACATATTTCCATTTCCACATTTCATATACTCTTTAAATTTAGATAAAAACATAAATTAATTTTTAATAAATTGAAAATTATATAGAAAAAACTGAAAATTTAGAGAAAATTTTTTTCGAAAATTTGAAATTTTTTAATCAAAAAAAAATTTCCAACCATATAAAATAACAGCTCTGTGCAATGCTACCTTAATAACTTTAATTTATTTTTAATAAAAGAATTTTTTTAAATATAATTTTGTTTAAATGCTCGCCACCTGCTTATTTTCTACTGCCCATGGGGCAGTAGCTGCTCCACTTTGTAAAATTGACCGAGTAAAATAGGGTTGAGAAAGGGGTGATAACATATGCCTTTAAATTAATTCTTTAAATTTAAAATAAAAAAAATAAAAACATAGAAACAGAAGCTCCCCCAGCACTTTCACCAAATAAAGTAATTAAGGAAGGATCACCTCCAAATACTATAATATACATAGGTATTTTATAGAAATAATTTAATTTTTATTTCATTAGCATTTAAGTTAAACCTCTAATTTTAAAAATCCCCGTACCGTAAATGCTGAAATAATGTCTCTCTCTCAAATAATTACCCCCATCCTATTAATTACTACATCCAGAGATCGAAAAAATAATTACCCATCTCAAAAAGTTATAATTAGCCTTTTTAAAAAGCTCAAATAATTACCCCCTCCCTTTTATTTACCACCTCCAGCGAGAAGTTGAAACAATACATAAAAACTCTGGGGAATTATTTTAACAAATACTGTATTTTTCCCCGATTTTTACGCCCTTTTTCATCTTTGTTGGACTCCGTTTTTGCAGCCCTTTTTTGCTTCTTTGCCCTTCACTCAAATTTTTTTACTTTCCGTTTTTTATTAAATAAAAAGTCTGTAATATAGAGGTTTTACGTTAAATAGAGGTTTAACTATATGTATATCTTTAAAAACCTTGTATATTTTTATATACCCATTTTAAAGCAAGTAGTTGATCCCATAAACCCATATTCCCTGGAGCTTCTTCTCTGCCCAAATATAGAAAACCAAATACAGTAACACGGTAATTTACAGTTACAATAATTACGTTTTCTTCTCTAGAAAATAATACTTCGAAATTTAAAATAACTCCATATTCCCCCCCCCCCCCCCCCCCCCCCCGATAATATAAAGATTCCTATATTTAAACTAAACCTAACATATCCCAAGTTCCAACTGTTAAAATCTCTCAGTTATCCCTAATTAAAAGACGTGATAAGGCAAAAAATCCTGGTAAAAATTAAAAATTTCCAGTCTAACCCCGCAAATATTTTCCCATCATAAACATCAAGAGAAGCCGTCCCACTCCAAAATCCACCTCCATAAATCCAAAAAAGAACAGGCAAACGTTTTTCTCGATCAATTTCACCGGGAACATAAATATTTAAATAAAGGCAATCCTCTAAAATTAAATTTAAAAATTCATAAAAGTGTTTTCTAAATTAACCAGAACAGGGTGTATTAGAATTCCACATTGTAGCCCCATAAAAATCACCAAAATAAGTATCTGGAGATTGAACACAAGAGTCACGGAAAGCTTGGAAATATTAATAATTTTTAATTAATTTTCGCTGAAGTGAAAGCCCATCAACGCCAAATTTTCGAAATTTATAGAAAAGAGATATTATATTTAACTAAAACCCCACTGCCGTAGCCATCCCAGAGTGGAGGAATCTAAGAGAAATTTATAGAAATATTTGGATCCGTCCTCAATGACTTGAAACATTCCACGTGATTAAAATTAGAGAGCGAACAATCGAGTTTTTTATAATAAACTCGCTCGATAGTCTCGGCCTAACCTAGGTGAAAAGACTAAGAAAGTCACCGACCCTACCAGAATTTAGTGTATATTTCCTCCCTAATTTTTATCATTTCGAAGTTAAAAATTAATTAAAAAATATTCATTTACTAGTAGCATTCCATTGTTCCCGCCAAGGACGTTTTGGAATAGGCCGTCGAAATCGAAGTTTTCCTATTTTAGAAAAGTTGAACTTTTACTTTTTTAGAAAATAAATTTATTTAAAAATCAACCAATAGGTGGTTCAGCAAAAGGAACACCCAAAAATTGAGAAATATATTTTCCTGTAGCTGCTTGTACAAATGACCCGAATATTGGGGAACCATCAGATAAATTTACATAAACAGCTGCTGACACCATATACTAAAAGAATTTTTTGAATTTTTCTTATAAAAATTATAAACCATTGTTTTATTTTAAATTGGATTTAGGATATAATTAAATTAGGTAATTATATTTAAATTATTCCCCATTCTGAGTAGTAACTACGGCCATATTTTTTCGGTATTTATCGGTATCTCGTATCGGTAGAACGAAATTTCGATCACTAACTCTAAGATGTTTCTTCCAACTCCTTTAGAGTCATTATTTTAATATCATTATCCTTAGATAACCGTAATAAAATTTAAAAAACTTGTCTAAAAGTTTTCCTTATAAAACCTACCTTTTGAATAAAAGTTTTTGATATTGTTCGAAAATTATTTTTATTATAAAATATTAGGGTTTACATAAAAAACATTTTTTAATTTCTTCAAATTTTTTTATAATTTTAACTTTAGTTATTACTGTTATAATATCAATTTAAAAAACACCTGTGAAAGAAAAACAAAAGGGAAATAAAGAAGATGTCGCAAGGACAAACAAAACCCATTATTTGTTTTTAAACTTTTTATTCTTTTCCTGTCCTCTATTGAATAATCCATCATTTTTTTTTAATTTGTTGAAAAATAAAAAATAATAAATTGCAACAAAACTTTAAAAAATTAAAGATAAGAAGATTATTTAAAGTAAAAATTTAGGAAAAAGTAACTGAAAAATTTATCATAAATTATCTGACTTTGGGTATTTTGACATAAAAAAATAAAAATAAAGATTTCCAATAAAATATTAACAAATATATCGAAGTTAATTGGGAAGTTATTCCCTTGTTCCGAGAATCTATTTCAGTCTATTTTTGAAAGGGAACCGTTTGGTTTCATGTAGAGTTGGGCTATGTCGGGATTTCAACATAAAATTAAGATCCCGATCCCGCCCAATCCTAGTGCATGTTTACCAATGGAATATTGGTACATGGTCCACTAAAAATCTCCAAAAGTTTAGTTAAATTATTCTTGATAATTTTTCGATAATTTTTTTTCATTGAGTTTGCAATAATTTGTCTCTATATCAATAAAATTTTAAAATTTCTAATTAATTTTCTTCTATGTATGTTTTTATAAAAAAAGAGTGAAAAGAAGGAATATTAAAAACATAAAGTGATTAATTTTTTAATTTTTCCTTTTTTTTAATCAGATGATATGTATCAAATAGATCAAACGATTAGATAATAAATTAAATAATTTCTTTTAATTTACGTCAATATTTTTTATTGAAATTAAATTAGAAATCAATTTTTATTAAATAAAAAGAAAAAGTTAGCAAATAAAAATTAAATTTATATTTATGTAAGAGTATTTTTAGATAAGAAAAAATTATTTTATTTTAATTATTTTTAATAAAAAAATTAATCCAAAATATAAACAATGGTTTTAAAATTATAAAAAAAAGGAATTGAGTTTAATTAGAGAAAGGGAGGATTAAAAAAGTCAGTAATTTTCTGCAACGTTCCACGAACTTTTCGGAGCTTATTTTTCGATACTTCATTGTAAAAAAATATTACACTAACAAGAATGTAAGAATATTTTTAAATAAAAATTCTAATTTTGATCAAATAAATTTTCATAAAAAATTATAAATGAAAATTAAAATGCTTTATCAAATGGGTTTGTTAAATTTTTTCCGAAAAATTTTTCCGAGGATATGGGATTTGGTATATCCGGTATATCCGGATTATCTCGGCCAATTTCCATTTTCATGAAAAATGCAGAATCATGTAAATTGAGATACAGATAGAGCTCTCGATTGGTATATAGAATGTATTTTTTAATGAAAAATTAAAAATTAAAAAAAAATTTTCTAGTGTAGATAAACTTATCCACCCCAGTGTATTTAATTATTTATATTTTTGCCAATAACAAAGATAGATTAGTATATTAAATATATATTTTCAACAAAAAATATCAGAAAGAAATTGTAAAAAAACTTTAATAATATATTTTAGTAGACAGATGGAGAAGATGGAAAAATAAAATCTTTTAAAAAAAATAAAAGAGAAGATTTTCCTCTTTAGTTATTAACGTCATCAAGAAAAGAAGATCGAGTAAAAGGTGATGCTGGAAGAAGAAAATATTATAAATACAACAGCTGTTTATGCCCTCAATAACTTTTTTTGCTTAAAATAAATATTTTTTTGTTGGATTGGGGAGCTTAAAAAGGGTTGAAATAATTTTTAAAAATATTTAAATATAAACAAACACGAAATTATCTGGTAATAAATTATCTTTATTATAATTTTTGATAGAGTAAAGCAGCTGGGCTATAGCTATTTCTCTCCTTTAGCTAGAGCAAAAGGTTATTCGGTGGCTGATTGCGAACCAGCATAATCAGCAGACCGGACTGATGTGTTATCCATTACACCCCGCCGCTTACTGCACAGCCTTAGGAATTAAATAGCTATGCTTTAGAACAAAGTAAATCCTTAGCTAATCCTGAATGTCGTAAAAAAATAAAAATATATTCCGATACTGTCCATGTAAATATTTTGGTTTAAGGATTTTCCTTATAAACTTTTCAATGTTTCAATAATTTTTAAATAATATCTACATAATTTTAGTTTTCTTTTCATATTTTTTAGCAATCAATTTAAAAAACCTTAAATTATTACACATTTACATTCAAACTTTACGAAAAGGTATATGTAAGAAGATTGTTTTTTCAATTTTTTGAAAAACATACCAAAAATATTATTTTTATATCACAAATGTTTTTTAATTTTTCGATTCTTTTTAACCAAAATATTTTTCTTTTTCCTTCTTTTAATTATTTTATTTGTTTTTTCAATTTTCTCTTCATCTTCCTCAATTACCTCCTTTTCTTCTTCCACAATTTCTTCTTCCTTCTCTTCTTCCTCTCCCCCTCCACCTTCCTTTTCATTTTCTTCCTTTTGTTCTTCTTTCCCACCAAAAATCATTTGTAAAAAGTCCTTTTCCCCGCTCAATTGCTTCGATTTCTCCAATTTATTTTCATTAATAACTTTTTTCTGATGATGTTGCATTAAATAACGCTTCCAAAGTCCCGATTTCTTTAAAACGCGCTCTTCCAATTTTTTAAGTCTTTCACCTTTTTCTACCTAAAAATATAAAAATATTTTTAATTGGTTTTTAGACTAATAGAACATTAAAAAATTCATTATAATAAATTAAATAGTAAACAAAAGTAAATAAGCTTCTTAGGGTTTCAAACCTTTGAAAGGTAGGATAAAAATAGTCTTAAAACTACAACCATTACCAACTTAACCACAAATATCACTAACGTCCCACTGGTCATTTCCCATCAATATCACCAATATCCCCCGACTCTTAAAATTAAAAAGTCTAAAAAATTACTTGTTGAGAAAAATGTTCTGCTTTGCGTTTTTCAAAAGATATTTCTGTTCTCAAACGTTGTTGTTCCACACGTTTTTCATAAGATAATTGTTCCATTAAATGTTCCCATTTAAAACTTAATTTTTATTTTTTTATAAAATTTTAAAGATTTAAAAAAAAATTAAAATTATTCTTTACCTGTGCAAGTATTTCATAGTCCAAACGCTGTCGTAGGCAGCGCTTCGTTTTCTTCCTCCAACTTGATTTCCATTTAACATTTGGGCAACTTCCTTTAATTTTAAAATATTTTTTAATTTTGGAATTTAAAAAAATTTTAATAAAAAACCTTTGCACATTTTTTGCTTTTAAATTCCACCCATCCTTCAGTGTAGCGTTTACGTTTATGTGGTCCACGTTTTTCAGCTTAAATTTAAAAAAATTAGATTTTGAATTAATAATCTTTGAAAGATTACAAAAATGTAAAGAATTGAAGGAAATTGAATTCGAGATCATTAAAGAGAGAAAGGATGTTAAGAAATAAAAACAAAGAAATTTTTAAACTGTCAACATTTAATTTTTTTAGATTTTTACAGAGAATTTTAGATTAACCAAATGTGTAAACCTACAATCCAAATATGTATAAAAATTACTCTTATTGTTAGTCAGCCACACCCTGTATAAAACTTATCTCTTAACAGGCCCCATTTTTATTAATTATAAAATATTAAAAAAAACCTTGTAAGTAAACTCTTCCCAGTTCTCCAAATCTGGACATAATTTCTCTCAGGTGTTTGACTGTAAACATTGGAGGTACTGATTGAATGTAGATAACACCAGGCATTTTAATTAATTTAAAATTGAATTGACTTAAAAAATGTTTAAAAAAGTTATAAATCTAAAAGTTTAAGATAAAATTGTAAAGAAAACAATTAATTTAGAAAACACCCTTTAAAACCAAATTTTTATTAAAAAATACAACAAAAAATATTAAAAGTTAAGAGTATTTAAATAAGTTAAATATCAATTTTTGAGTAGAAGGGCTTCACCGTTAAAGAAAAATTGAAGTAGGCAAATAAATGCAAAAATATTAACAAAAATTCCAAAACAAATTAAAGTTCATCTTTTACCATTTCTTTACTTTCTGCATCTTTTGAAATTTGTTTTTGAGGAAGTGGGACTTTTGTGAGAGTATCCACATCTAAATTTAAAAAAAAGATTTGATAATAAAAAAAAAAGATTTGATAATAATAAAAGTAAAAAAGACCCTCTCCGAATAAAATTAAAAAGTGCAAACCCCTAGGTGTTAATTTTAACGAGTTTATTTTGTAGGATTTACTCTAGAGATTGTGATTTTTGAAAGCCTGGGCCTGTTCCTGGGTTCCGGGTTTGATTTATTGGCCTGGTCCGGATCCTGGGCCTGAAATCCAAGAAAAGCCCAGGACCAGGAAAAACTCAGTAAAGTCAAAAAATGCCTGGGTCTGAACTCTGGGTGCAGGAAAACCCTAGGCCTTGGTCCAGACCCGCTCGATCTCTAATTTATTCGGGCACATTTAATTTCTCAAAGTAAGAATTATGAAAGTAAATCAATCAAATTTTCTATAATTTCCTGGCTAATTGCCAAGAATAGGTTGGGACGTATACAATGTGAAAGAGAAAATGGAATCTGGATTTCAAAATATCCCTTGCAAAAAATGACAAAAAATTTTGAACAAAAATAAAAAAAACAAACAATCTTCACTTATTAAATTGTCAATAACAAGACCAACAAAATCCTTTTCTGGAGATTGAAAATACCATCCAATGTGTGTATTACAAGCAGAACAGACACAAGGCCTCCAAGACATTCCTTCAAACCTTAAAAAATTTTTTTAAATAAAATTAATCAAAAATTTATTTTAAAAAACCAAGTTTCTGCAGTTTGTGCTTTTCCAGAAAATTTTAAATCTGCCCCATTTGCAAAAATTAAATTGTAAGTCTCAGCTAAATATTAAAAAAAAATCTGAAAAAGCGAATAAATAAACTTACGGACGCTGTTTTTGAACGTCTAAAATTTTTAAAAAATTTTATTAGCAAAATAAAAGGAAATTAATGTTGAAAATTTTTGGGAAGGGTTGTTCCCCGACAAGGGGGGGGGGAGAACCAACGGGAAAGTTTTTCGAGGAGGCAGGGACCAGGGATGTGCCGAAACAGATTTTAAAAGGCGAAAGACGAAAGGCGAAAAGGCGAAAGTCATTTTAAAAAGCGAAACACGAAAGGCGAAAAGGCGAAAGTCATTTTAAAAAGCGAAAGACGAAAGGCGAAAGACGAAACACCAAAAAAGACGAAAATATGGCGAAAGACGAAAGACGAAAAGGCGAAATAACTGTAATGAGGAAAAATCCCTAGATATCGGTTAAACCAAAGCTTTGGTTAATTAACTATTTTCAAATCTTCTAGCAAATTCTCCTAATCTTGTGATATCATTATTAACCGGTAAATTATGGATATCAGAGGATTCAGAGTGATTTAGGAGGATATCAGAGGATGTATAAGGCAAATTCAAATTTTTATTTTTTCCTATCATTGGAAATCGTCGATTGAGAATATAGTTAATGTCCGAAACGGAAATTTCCGAAACGGAAATTTCGATATCCGGATCCGTAACTTAAATTTTTAATAAAATACTGAGGTCTTCCTTAATCAGCGCCGCAGGCGAAAATTTTGAAAATATAAGGTGTCTAAGGCACGAAAAATTCACTTTTTAAATTAAAAAAATAATTTTTTGCAAAGAAAAATTATGATTATTATTCTATTTATAATAAATAAAAATCTTGTCCCTAAATTTTGATTCGAACCTAACAATAATGAATGGACGCTAGTCGAAGTCCAGCAACTTAACCACTTAACCATCAATCACTTTATAGTAAATAAAGAAAATTTTATATATTTATCCCCACTCTTCTCAGTTTTTCTCTTTCTTTTCTTCTCCCAATTACCAACTTTTCCTCACATAACTGTCATTAGGGGTGTATAATATTTTCGCCTTTCGCCCGAAAAAGCGAAAGACGAAAGGCGAAAAGGCGAAAGTCATTTTAAAAAGCGAAACACGAAAGGCGAAAGACGAAACACCAAAAAAGACGAAAATAAGGCGAAAGACGAAAGGCGAAAGACGAAACGGCACACCCCTGGCAGGGACACAGGTGGAGGAGGGAATTTTCAAGAAATATCTCAAATTCCCCTACTTCCGAGGGAAGGGGAACACCCATATTTTTAAGGGTAAAATTAGCCCTTAAAAACAAGGCCTTGCTAGGACTTACAAAAAATACTTAAAAAGCCAAAAAATCAATAAACAACCACAAAACCAAGAACAGTTTAAAAAACCTCCCTTACTTGAACAATTGTTTCAACACCCAAAACAGTCAAATTCCAATTATCATAAGCTGCTGGGCTTTTAACATTAATTAATGCAGAAGCTGTTGTTACCTAAATAAATATTTTTATTTTAAAAAAACTTTAAAAAATAACCGAATGCCCACAATAACGACATAAAAGATCGGCAAAAGTTAATGACCCTAAAAAAATTTTTTTGAAAATCTTTCAAATAAATTTAAAAATAACCTGTTAAAATATTGATAAATATTAAAAGAAAAATCCACAAATTAGAAAAATTATTTAAATTCATTTGGGCCTGTAAAATTTAATTAAAAAATTTTAGATGAATACCCAAAAGACCAACAAAAAATTTTCCCAAAAAGACATTTCGCCAATTAAATAATTAAAAACAAAATGCCAATTTTAGGCGAAAACATGGAATTTGATTTAACTGATAATTTTAAAATCTTCTAGTCTAAAAATTCGAAAATTATTTTCTTTAAAGGATAATCCTTTCTTGGGTTGCCAAAATGGACAAACTCGGACCGAAAGATCGAGTCGGGCATAGATGGTTAGCCCGAAAAAGACTCATACCGGCCCGACTCAAAACGGGCAACCCTAATTCTTTCCTCACATTTTTCAACCCAAAATTTGACTAAAGATCTGCATTTCATTCAAAGCAGGGTTTAAAGCAAGCAGAAATTTCATAAAGGTATACCACTTGCCGTCAAAAAATACATATAAGATTAGACAATTAAACGTCAATCATAAATTAAAAGCAGATATTGGAATTTTATATTATTTCGTTCATTAACACGAGTCATATTGGCAACCTTTCTTTGTCTAACAATAATTTTTAATTTGTAATTTAAAATCAAAAATATGTATAACAAAAAAATTTTCATTATTTTTTACTAATTTCACCAAATATTTTTACTAGTACATTTAAATTCTCAACTTGTTTTAAATCAAATTTTAGTGAAATATAATCCTATAAAAATATTTGTTTATTTTTAATTCACTTTTGTGCGCAACTCTCATTTCTCTCTTTTTATTTAAAAACCTTTGCCATAAAATTTTATTTCAGAAATAGAAAAAAATTTTAATGTTTAAAAATGAATTTTTGTTTTTATTTTTGAATTAAATATATTCTATTTTTATATGAATTTTTTTTATAAATACTAGAGATGTTCCCCATCTATGTCCCCGCCGCCAAAGTTAGGAAAACCTTGAAGCTTTAAATTCTTCATTGATGTATATATGAAAATAAATTTTGTTCATTATTCTAATAGTTTTGTTAATTTTAAATACATTCGGATATCATCTTATTTTACTCAAATAAGTATTCAAATAATACAAACTACTAAAACAAATGACAAAAGATTTTAAACTTATAATTAGGAGGTATTGTTTTAAAATTAACAGACTTGGGAATATAAATCTCATAAAAATATTCATTAATAGGGTTGGGGTTTTCGAATCGGGCCGACGTTCGAATCATTTTTTTCGGGCCGGCCCGATCGAGTCTTTTTCGGGCCAAAATTCAAGGCCCGTCTCGATCTTTCGGACCGGGCCGGATCGGGCCCCCAACCCTATTCATAAATACCTCACCTATTTTGTCATTTTTTGTTTATTTTTCAAGATTTAAATTTTTTAGTTTTTTTTTTTGCTTTTTTGTAAAATTTATTTGTATTTAGCAAAATATATAACTTATTTTTTTTGTTTTTTCTCTATAGTTACCTGCTTTTACTTGAAAATTCTCTCAAAACATTTTTGTTTGTTTATGCTTCTCTCTCTTAATTTTAGAGACTTTTACATAAAAAATAAAAAAATAATACTACTAGGTCGGTTCATAAAAAAGTTCGTTTTTTTCAAAAATTTATTTTCAAAGAAAAATCGATAAATCTCAAGCAAACTAAAACAGATAAAAAATCTAACTTTACTAAATAATTGTCCCGAGTCTTAACAATATTCTTAAACCAGAAAAAAGTTCGTGGATACCTCTTTTTAAAAAAATCTGACCCCATTTCTGAAGCACTGTCTTCCCCACCACAGTCTCGACCTTGGCGTCTTCAGTCAAGTGCCCGTCCCGTAAAAATTTTTTTGAAGAAGTGAAATGATGTTAATCTGATAGAGCAGACTCAGGGCTACAAGGGGGGGGTGGGGTAACACTTTCCAACAAAGTTTATTTGGGGCATGGCAGGTCATCAAAAATGAGTGGTGTAAAGGGGCGTTATTTTAATGGAAAACCAGAGGTCTAGTAAACAGTCCCTAGCGACGTTAAAAGTAACAAACGAAATCTTCCTGTGTGAGTTAGTTAATATGCATGTTGGAGTTTGTAGTGGTACCAATTTGAAGTACCTCCGTCATCAACGGACCGAGCACCATCCAAAAGAATACACAACATACGTTTTTTGGGTGGTTGGGTGGGCGGGGGACCAAAAGAGGGTCTTAATATTTTTTCCTCCAAATAATTTTTTGTATATTATTATCGTAATTGGCATATGTTTAAACCTAGGTAACAATCCGGTTCCATGAATAACCCTTTCGATAGTTATCCAGGCTTAAAAGGCTAAAAAAAAGTCCCTGTTGTTTTTGTCTCACAGTAGGTTGGTGCATTACTCCTTTTGTCCTCCTCGGCTCAAGATCCGTTTTTTCGGACAATTGCCATATTGTACTTATAGAGCAATGTCCCCTCTACAATTCTAATAAAAAAATATCCGGATATCTTTCTAACCGGCGAGCAAGGACGCATTTGTTTACAGTCGGTCATCTTCACGACCCGTGCTTGTGTTCGGTCCTATTGTTCCCAGATCGAATTTTTTTGAAAAATTTTTGAGCTACACTAGGTTAGACAAGATCCCTGCCTATCATTTCATTGATTTTTCCTTATGCCAATATTGCATTATTACTTAGTTTTAATGGTATGTGTAACTGCCCCTAAATATTCCCCTTACCCACTCTCACTTCTGAAGGCATAAAATTTTTTTGATCTTTGATATTTTTAAAATTTTGGTATCATTATAAAGCTAAGACTCTGGGCTACAAAATAAAATAAAAATAAAATCGGATAAAAGTAGTTATCACTCAAAAAACTTGCGATAACAAAAAACGAACTTTTTTATGAACCGACCTAGTATTAAAATATATTAAATAAAAACTTATTACAAAACACAAAAAAAACTTTAAATTTAAAAAACTAATTATTTACTTATTTGAAACGTCTGACATGAATTTATTATGAATTAAAAACTTTTTTTTGCAAAAATTATTTAAGAAAATTCTAAGCTGGGATCAGATATAGGGAAAAAAATAAATACCTAATTTCAAATATCGCAATTGTACATTAAAAATCAGTATTCTCAAAAAGTCTGGATCTGGATCAATTGAGATATTTGGTTAGTAACCTGGACAGGATTTTTGAGCTGGATCCAGGAAAAATCCAGACTGGATCCAGATCCAGACCGATCTCTATTGTACATACAATCTTGGGAATAAAAAATGGACTCAAAATTGAGAGTACGTAGAATTGGATTTTTGTTTAGGTATCTCCCCCATCCAGTGGTAAATCAATTTTAAAAAATTCTACGTAAAAGTGTAGTCGACCTTTAATTAGTAAATTTAGAATATTTTAAAATTTCCTTTTTATTTAAAATAATATTAAATAATAATTATTATTATAAGCAATTATTAAAGCTTTTATATTTATTTATGTATTTGTTGTTGTCCCAATCCTCAATATTTTTTCTGCTTAAAAAACCTGTTTTTTTTTCTTTTTGCTCATTCACCAAACTTTGAGCAATAAGAAATTACTTACAATTATTTATTTTAAGTTTTTGATATTTTTTTCTCTCTCTTTTAGGATCAACAAGTCGAAAAACAAAAAATCTTATTTAAATTTTATTTTTTTGATCTAAATAAATCCTAACAAAAATAGAAAGATTAAGCAATATTTGACAAAAAAATTTGCTCGAATAATCATCCTCTCTCAAATAATTACACCCTCTTTTTCCTACACAAATTTTAAAAATATTTAAAAAATCATTGTCATTTTTAATTATTGAAACAGTTTAAGACATTAAATCAAAAAATAAATCGATTTCCTCCTCGATTTATTGAGATACCTATACCCCAAATTTAGCACCTCCTCTTGATTAATTGCCCCCTCCAACGAAAGGCCAAAACAATAATTATCCAGGGTTTACGCATATGTTTTTAGGTAAGTTAACTCGAAAAAGCATTATTTGTCTTTAAATTTCCAAAAAATATACCTATTGTCTAATCACCACTTTTAAAAAAATTCAAAATAATTTCATTCAAAATATAAATAATATTTTTCAATGACTAACATTTTTAACTGAAAAAATTATTATTTAAAAATCTTCTTCTTTTTGTTCTCCCAACCCCCTTCCCCCTCAAAAAAATCAAAAAAGAATAAAAACATAATTGACGTGTATTATTCAATTTTAATACAGGCTTTTGAACAAAAAATATTTTTAAATAATTTTCTTTTGATTAAAAAAAGATGGAAAGAATAAATAAATAAAAATTAATTTCGTCTCTCTCTCAATGCGCAATTAAATTACAAAAATGTTTAATCCTTCCTCTACAAATTCAACAACAGAAAGAAGGAGAGCGCATTTTAAAAATAATTTAATAGATGAACTTTATGAAGATGAACAAAATGAAAAAGATTATTATAGAGGAGAAAGCATTAATTGCAAAGTTTTTTTTATTTTTTTAAAGAAAATTAGGGGAAAAATTTAAAAAATAAAAGAATTTAAGGGTTACTCTTCCACTGAAAGTTGAAGCCAGAAACGCTTTTTCCCCTTTACTACATATTTCCTCTAACAATAAAATATTATTCTAATTTCTCGTTATAAAATATTATTTTTGTTCACTTATTATTTCTGCATGTTTCCATTGCCGAAAGAATCCCTTTAGATAAAATAACAATCAAAAATATAATTTCAAAAAATTATTTTTAGAAATTTAATTAAAAAAAAGTAAAATCCTTAAAGCACTATCTTTTTTTAATTCCAGCTGCAAGCATTAAATATTTTCCATGCAGTACTTGGAGCTGTTGGACTTGGCCTTGCCGGCACCCAATTCCAGACAAAAATTGGAATTGATAATTATAGGCATATTGATTTACGAATGGCTAGTGCCTTGCTATATACAATTACTGGAACTAGTAAATATTTTGAGTGAAAAAATAATATTTTAATTCTAATTTAAAGTTGGGTTTTATTGTGTTAATCGTTCACATGGAAGTATTGTAATTAAATGTTTATATTGTTTAACTGCTTTGTTTGCTTTGGGTACAGCTATATTTTATGGATTTACAACTTATAAGGTTTGGGGGGAAAATAATTGGAATAAAATCAGAATTTGAATAGTAAAAATCAAAATTAAGAAATCAAAATTTCAGAATCAGAATTAAAAAATCAGAATCAAAAATCAGAATTAAAATCAGAATTAAGAAATCAGAATTAAAAAATCAGAAATTAAAAATCAGAATTAAAATCAGAATTAAGAAATCAGAATTAAAAAATCAGAAATTAAAAATCAGAATTAAAATCAGAATTAAGAAATCAGAACTAAAAAATCAGAAATTAAAAATCAGAATTAAAATCAGAATTAAGAAATCAGAACTAAAAAATCAGAAATTAAAAATCAGAATTAAAATCAGAATTAAGAAATCAGAACTAAAAAATCAGAAATTAAAAATCAGAATTAAAATCAGAATTAAGAAATCAGAACTAAAAAATCAGAAATTAAAAATCAGAATTAAAATCAGAATTAAGAAATCAGAACTAAAAAATCAGAAATTAAAAATCAGAATTAAAATCAGAATTAAGAAATCAGAACTAAAAAATCAGAAATTAAAAATCAGAATTAAAATCAGAATTAAGAAATCAGAACTAAAAAATCAGAAATTAAAAATCAGAATTAAGAAATCAGAACTAAAAAATCAGAAATTAAAAATCAGAATTAAAATCAGAATTTAGAGAACAGAATTTCAAAATTAGAATTTCGGAATCAGAATTTAAAAACCTGAATTCTTAATTGAAAAATCAGAATTACGTTTAAAAAAAATAATCAACCCTTAAATTATTAAAGTTAATTCACCTAAGTAAACAATTAAATGGAAGATTTGAACAATTTACTTCAATTATCCAATTCACAACATCTACAAACACAAACTTTGTTCCAAAAATTTTAATTTCAATTTCAATGTCCATACTTTCCTTTCTTGTATTTTTGTTGGCACTTTTTTCATTGGCACTTTTAGATAATTTAGTGGCTATAGAAAATATTTGGTACCCGGCATGGCCAGATGACAGAATTAAAGCTAAATTTAATCAAACTTTGCTTTTTGGGGCTTCTTTTGGGAAATTGGTAGAAATTAGAAATAACTTGGATCTAAAAGAAATTTTTCTAAGTTAACAGCAATTGCTTGTTTAGGAATGTCTGCTTTTGTGGAATTTGAACACACACAAATAGCTTTACGTCAAGACTATTTTCGTCTAGTTTTGGACCAATTAAGTTCTTTATTTGGTATTGGAAGTGCTTTTGTGGATTTATATGCTATTTACAATAAAACACACAAAACTTTAAATTTAAAGGTTTGGGGGGATTATTAAGAGGTTTTTGTGTTAGGCTAGCAATGTTTCCTACCTGCTTCTTGAGAAAATGAAAACGATTAATCTTTAATGGGATGATTTATCGGGTAATAACCAGGCATTAGATAGCTCACAGGATAAGGTCCACCCAATTTTTAAATGTTTTTTGAGTGATTTGGGACGTTTTACTTTTTTTTGTATTCGAAATGTTCTAATTAGAAGGACATTTTCTTGGGGGGAAGGTTTTAAAAAGGCAGTCTCAATTAAAATAACAACTATTATCTGGGGGAGTCCCTTAAAAAGAGTGTTTAATTTAAAAAATAATTTTTTCATTTTATTTTTAAAAGGTTAGCATTGGACTTTCACTAATAGTTGCAATATGGAGCCTCAAATCAGTAGACAATAATTCCTTTCCTTTTTACAAAGAAGATATAAATTCATATAGAATAGCTTTTAGTGCTTCTCGTTAGTTCTCTAAAAATTATTTTCCTTTAAAAAAGTTCTTTTAAAGAATCTTCATTCTCTTCAATAACTTCCCCTCAATATACAATAGTTATTGTCCATGGAATATTAATTATTTTAATGTCTATATTGTCTTTACTTTGTGCTTGTACTTGTATATTAGCTTCTTCTTGCTTGCGCGAGTCTGTGACAAAGAAAGGTGGAAATGATTTTGATTTGGATATTACAAGAAAAACTAGGTGAATAAAAGTAATGAATTAACTGGAAAATAAATAATGATAAATAAAATACAAAAGAATATTTCAAAAAACATCGGTAAAGGTTTAATCCTGGAAAGGCCAGTGCCAGTTATCTCAGATGCCAGTTATCTCAGATAAGTTATCTCAATAACTTATCAGCCAATTGATTCAGTCCCTTTTAATAGATCTAAACACCCGCCTGAAAAAATATTAGCTAGTTGGATCTCTCTTCTTTTTTACAAAAAAGGAACAGGCCATGATACAGCTAGGTCGAGGTACCGCGGAGCTATAACTTCGTTCAAAATTATCGAATCTGAGACCTTGATATGGTTCGATTCAGTCGTTGAAGCGCATTAAACATCGGTAAAGGTTTAACCCTGGAAAGGATCCTGCGACAAAAAAAAAACAAAACATTACCAGAATAAACTTTAAATCTAATTTTAAAAATCAGAATTCTTGCCTTTCTCTACTCTTTATGGACATTATCGCTTTTGTGTTTACTAGGAATAGGCCTAGCAGAGTTATCCTGGACCGGGGACTATATTGGAGGTGATCTTCTATGGATTGCCGTTCTTTTGTTTTGTACAGGATTGTTAAATACAAATTATAGACAAAGGTTTTCTTCTTCCAAATTTTCTTCAAAATTTTGTTTTTCCTTTTCAGAAATTCAATAATTATCAAATTTGTGTTAAATTCTCTTTCCCTTTCCGTCTGTGCCGAAAAGGCAATTTTAAGTTGCTGGCTAACATTCCAATCTTTTACCCACCAGGATTATGTAAACGAAAGGGTTTTTGATAAAAGAAGTAGATATGGACAATCAATTCTTTTTGGAATTCAAACAATTATTTTATTTTTTGCTTTAATTACTTCAATTTATGGAGTTTTTGTGTTTGGAAATTTATTGGGGAAACAAAAGAATAATGAAAGAAAATATGGGGGTAAATATAAATAAATTTCTTGTTATGTTGTTTAAAGCTGGATATCACTCCGAAATGGAAAGGAAAATAATTAAAAAGGGACACGCCCAAGTAGGAAAATTTCTGGACCTTAACAATTTTGGTACCATTCTCTTTGGCTCGATGAAAGGAATCGTTTAAACTAAATTTTGAAGCTAGTTAAGGCTTTGCGTCTTCTTGGCCGCGCACCTACTTGGGCTGTACCCAATTAAAAAATGAAAATCATTTAATAAAGTGAGGGAAAAGTCTTTTCTTAATTTTTTATTAGCACTTAAATCCAAGAAAAAATTATTTTTTAAACAATTATTTTACCAGTTTTACATTTTTGTTGTTCACTAAGCGCACTTTTCTATGCTTTTACAATTATTGGAAGTGAAATATTTTTTGAAATAGATAAATGGTATTGGGGGGAAGCTGTTTTAGAACAAAGCCAATATTATCGGTTAGGTAATGGATTGTTGGGATTTACTGTTTTTGTTATTCAGGTATTTTTTTGGTTATTAAAATTTTAGTAATGATGCGGGTTTGGATTTTTAAAAATTTTATTCGTTTTACTGACTAGGACTAAGTCCCTTCCTAAAATCTGTAAAATTAGGCCTGTTAAATATACAGTGATAGAAAGTAAATATGTTAACTTTACCAGTTTGGCTTGCAAATTTTAATTTATTTTGGAATTAACATTCTTATAAAATATGACATGAAAAAAATTTTATTTTTAATTTTAGATTATTTGTTTAAAAAATTCTCAATTTTTATTGTCTGCAATATTATTACAAATTATTTTGTCTTCTTTAGCTCTTTTTACACTCAATTCAACAATTACAAATACTTATTTTTTAGTAATTTTTCAGTCAAAAATTAATTTATTTAAATTTATTTTTAGCAAATTCTTTTTAATGCCCGCGCTTCAATTGGATTTAATAATAAACAAAAAATTATTTTAATTGTTGCTTTATGCTTTGCTGGACTTTCAGCAATTGCTTGTTCCTTACGAATTATTTTTGGAACTATTTGTATTTTACGGTAAATTGGAAGATTTTTAAATAAATTCTGGGAAAGACTAAAATGAGTAAGAAGTGAACCTTCTTCTAAACTATAAGAAGGGAATCTGCCGTTCGCATTCCCAAAAGAAATCACAACTTCCATCGAATTCACAACTTCCATCGTTTTTTGATCGGATCGCGGTTGCCGAAATCGAGAATTTAATTTTTTTCGGAAGGATCTTTAGTATGTAGAGGGCATGCCCCAATCCTAGGAAATAATAAATGACTAGATAGAATTAGAAACTTAAAGTTATACAAAAAAAGGTTATTTCCATCCACTCAAACACCATTGCTTTTATTCAGAAAATCTGAACATTTTTCTGTAAATTTTATCGGACTTGTTGCCTTGCCAAAAAATTCTCGCATTTTTTAAGTTGGAGAAAATACAAAAATGCCCCAATTTTTTTCCTTTCCATTTAAATAATTTTACTTCCCCAAACTTAAAAGTTGTTCTTATCTTCTTCACCATGGCAAGCCTAGAAGAAATTCCCAACTTCCATCATTAATTAGTTATTGTACTACAAGCCCTATTGACGATAATACTTTTAATAGAGCAATTCCTGGTTCTTCTTTTATTAGCCCTCCTAGTCCAGAATTACATGTTTGTTTGTTTTTGGAGAAAAAAATTATTTAAAAAAAATTATTTTAGCAATTTTCAATACGCCCAATAGAAGAACAAACACTTTATTGGTCTGCTGATGAGAACCCGGTGAATAAAAAAATATTAAAATAAAATTTGAAATTTTCCCAGTACATTTACAAATCAACAAAAAGAATTTTTGGAGAACCCATTTTTAATGGTTTGCCCTACAATATTGACAATTCTCAAGAAAATGAAGGAATTAATAACGTTAATTTACGTCCTTCAAATCGAAGACAAGAAGATAAATTTTCTAGAGGATTAGCACGATTTTATTCTAACACAAATATTACCGATGCTACAAGAAGTACTCCTACTACTAGACTTTCAACTTCAATTTCCCCTATTTCGGAAAGATAAAAAATTATTTTTTCTGATTTTTATTTGAATAGACTGCCTTTTTTGATTACTTGTTTTTAAATAAAACTTAAAAATTGGAATAATTAATTCCTCTAAACAAGCCCAACTGTATTTTTCTTTATGTAAAACACTGCCAGAAAATTTGGTAATTCCGTGACTTGGAATTCCTCGAATTAGCCCCACTCAAAATTGTGCTTTTTTGCAAAAATCAAATTGTAAATTCCAACTAGAAATTAAGCTAAAACTTTTAAAATGAGAGATTATTTTTTTAAAAACAATTCCTTCTAAGCACTAAAAGAATCTAAAAAATATTTTTAAAAAATACGACAAAAAATTAATTTGATTTGCTCTGAAATATTAATTCAGAAAATATACTGAACAAAACATTTTACCATTTAAAAAAAATAAAAATTTAATTAACGAGATACAATAAATGTAAAAAATATAAAAAAAATTGTCTGTAGAGATACTTTAACTTAAAAAAATCAAAAACAATTAATTTTTCTATATAAATTAACAACAAATTCCATCTGTTAAACGTCTAATTCTTCGCTGATTTTTCTTGTCAATATTATCTTCTTCTTCTGATGCTAAATTACGAACTTCTTGATCTCTTTGAATCCTTTTTTAAAAAGAAAATAATATTTTTTAGATTATTTAAATAAATATTTAAGAAAACAAAGCTGGATTATAAGGGAAAGATTAACCAGAATCTATAAATTATTTAAAGAAATTTTGGCTTCTTTACCGTCTAAAAACTAGAGCTTCGCCGGAAGTTCCGGGATTTTTTGGTTCAGGTTCCGGTCCTTCAGTTACGGTCCGGTATAATTTTAGAAGGCCGTAGGCCAAAAAATTTCAGTTTCGGTTCCGGCGAAGCATTACCGAAAACCCAAAGATTTGGCGCTTAATGTTATTAAATATTTACTCAGAAATGTTTATTGAGAACTTAATTATGAAAGGAATACCTACCCATTTTTAAAAATTTAGCCAAAATGGTTTTAATAAGGTTGGCGGATCCGGATATCCGGATCCGAAAAAAGGCCGGATATCCGGAAATTTTCGGTTCGGATACCGGATCCGGATCCGGATATCCGAAATTTTCGGTTCGGATATCGGATCCGGATCCGGATATCCGAAATTTTCGGTTCGGATATCGGATCCGGATATCCGAAAATTTCGGTTCGGATCCTAGAATTAGGGAAAAAGGAAGAAATCTTGCCCAATGGCCTTCCAAATTTCTCAAAATTTTCGCCTGCGGCGCTGGAAAATGAACAAATCGGGTAGCCCAGGCTTCTAAAATTCTCAAAATTTTTGCCTGCGGCGCTGGAAAAGGAACATCTGGTAGTCTAATCTTCCAAAATTCCCAAGATTTTCGCCTGCGGCGCTGAAAATGGAAGAAATTTGGCTTCAGTTGCTTCCAAAATTACAAAAGAATTTCGCCTGCGGCGCTAAAAAGTGAACTTTTTGGCCTACTACCTTAAAAAATTACCAAAATTTTCGCCTGCGGCGCTGTCAGTGGAAGAACTCTGACTTAAGGACCTCCATGTTTCTCAAAATTTTCGCCTGCGGCGCTTAAAAAGGAAGAAAAGGGGTTTGTTTGTACGATAACTGAGGATTTACCTCAAAATATCTAATTATTCTCTTAATCCCACGATCCCAGCTATCAATTTATCAAATTCAAAAATATAGAAATAGCCGATGTATCTACTACTTCCCCCAAATCCACTAAATTCTCACAAATCATCAGATAAACTACAAAATTTTCCACACATTGATTACACCTAGATAACTGTTAAGCATAAATTCCCTCGATAACACTGTTAATCCCCAAATTCAATCATAATTGCTCCTAATCCCTTTATATCCTCCTTAAGACTCAACTTTTCAGCGCCGCAGGCGAAAATTTTTAAAATAAAAATTTCGGTTCCGGATCCGGATATCCGAAAATTTCGGTTCGGATATCGGTTCCGGATCCGGATATCCGAAATTTTCGGTTCGGATACCGGATCCGGATCCGGATATCCGAAATTTTCGGATCGGATACCGGATCCGGATCCGGATATCCGAAGATTTCCAACTATCCGCCAACCTTAGGTTTTAATTAGAAAACCGAGGGTATGCTAAAACTCGGAGAACGGTAATGAGTAGTTAACCCCCCCCCCCCCCGAGAAGTCGTTGGGGGCAGCGGGGTCCAACCATTTAGCCCCTCCCCCTTCTTAAACGACCATTCAACCATTCCGTCGTCAGAGTCCAAAGGTTTAAGGATTTCCCTTTAAGGGATAATTTGATCAAACCGGTTTGGTGCGAACTTTAAAAAAAAAACACCTTACCATACCATTCCCCACATTTTTCACCAAATTTTATTCTAAAAATTTTCCCAAAGTTTCTAGGGTTCAATAAGTAGTTTTCAAACGGTTCAATCAAGATTTCCCATATTTTTTCTTTTTAAAACTGTTTCTTAAACTTTTAAATTTCTTTTCTTACAATATCTCATTTTATTATTTTTACCCTTTATACTTAAAAAAAATACAATAATTATTAAAAAGTAGGCGGTTGAAATAGAAATAGTAAAAATCAGTCATGCAATAATTATGTTGCAAAATTATTGTTGAAAAGTGAAAATTGGTTAGAAATAGGTCATGCAAGAGAAAAACTGTAAAAATTTGTAAATTATTGTTGAAAAGTTAAAAATGGGTAAATTTTTAAAAAGTAGACGTTGAAGATAGAAATAACTTTAAAAAGTATAAATAGGTAAAAAAATAGCTCATGCAAAAATTGTTCAAAAAATTATTAAAAAGTAGGCGTAGAAAAGTGAAAATAGACTATAATTATAAAAACAAAATATTACTGTAATAGGAAAAATAAATAAATGAAAATAAATTAAGTTTTATAATTACCCCTCTCTATTAATTACCCACTAATAATTTAAAAAATTAAGAGTTTAAAAAATAAATTCTACAAACAACATCGTCGCATCATTCACAACTTGCTAATTATATACCTAAAAATTTTTCTTTACCAGATATTATGCTAATTTTCTTTCTCAAAATATTATTTAAAATTTAAAACATTTCCTATCTAGTTAAATTATGTTAAATTTATTTTTAAAATTCCTCTTCTTGACTGGAAATAAAGAAAAAGATTGTTTTATATAGGGATTTCTCTTCTTTTGACAACATCCTAAGGAATAAAAACAAAGGTATGTATTATTACGAAACTAAACATTATTACGAAACTTGCTCGCTCTTTCTTTTTCTCTTTAAATTCTTTTGCTTTTTTATGCAAAATTTCTTTTAGGCTTTTTCCCGCGACTGGAAAATAATGAAATGGAATTTCAGTGAAATACCTATTTTACAACACATCAATTATTTTATGGAATATTTTCTTAAAAAAGGATTTCACATTTCTTTCTTCATTCTTTAAAATTCTAAGAAATTTAATACTTTTGAATTAGTCTCTAATTTTGAATTTATTTTATTATTAATGTCTCCTCCACCTTCGAAGAAAGCACGACATTTCTTCATTGATAATCTATTACAGAAAGGTGATGGTGATTATGTAAAACATTTGGGTGAAGAAACCAAAATCACCCGGAAATTTAACCTTACCAAACTGTCTACTAAATTCTTAATTTCGAATATCCCACCCGATCCTGAGGGTTTATTAAAAGGAATTTTCCAAGAATGCATCGACAAAACATTGGAGACGAGTCATGGTCATCAGCTTGAACCAGATCAACTTGGCTGTACAGTGAGCAGTCAATTGTTAGAATCAGATATTTGGATTCCAATACGTGAAATTACTCCCAACACGGTGGATTCAATTCTTAACCAATTTCTAAAAGTGGCCCAATCTAAAAAACAGGATCAGGGAATGCTTTGGGGTGAACCATTTACCGTTTCTGTTACAGCTATTGACAAAAAACATCTGCCTACAACACGTTCTATTAATGGTAGTGGCAAAAATCCATCACCAATTCGACATAAAGTTAAAGACCACAACCTCATTAAAATTATTAATTCAGACAACTACTGTTTATTTCGATCATTGTCTGCCACCTTTAAATTTTCAACATGCTCATGGCCGAAATGGAAGTTCTATGACTATATGCATAGCAGATTAGGAATGAAGAAACGTTTGGAACATGATACAACATTCTTGATGGAAAATGTAGGAGCTCCTCTTGATTTAACAACATATGATGCAAATGAATGGGTACCCAAGGTGGTTGATTATTGGAATTCAAGGAATGATGGCCTGTTTAAAGTTTTTATTTTTGGAGAATTAGATGAAAAACCTATCTTTAAATATGGGGATGAAAATCACACTACTCCAATTCTTCTTTATTACAACAATAATCATTTTGATGGAGTTAGAAAAGCAAGCGATTTATTTGGTAAACCTTATTGCCTATCATGTGAGATAATTTACAACCGCCCAAAAGATCATTCTATCACCTGCACATCAAAATGTCAAAATTGCTCCAGGATCGGACCCAATTACCCATGCCAGCCTTTAGATAACTACTCAAAACTATGTAATAGGTGTTTTAAGGAATTTAATAATGAAGAGTGCTATGACCATCACATCAATTCTAATTTCTGCAACAACTCCAAAAAATGTGAGAAATGTGGAGTGATATGGTATGTGAAGGACAACAACAAGAATGGGCGCAGTGGACATGTTTGTTCAGAACGTTACTGCACCACCTGCTTTAGCTTCCATGACCCAAAAAGAGGTTGTTACATTAAATCTCTAACTCAAAGGAAGCCAAAACCCTACCGAGTCATCGCTTTTGACTTTGAAACCATGCAACACAGGCAAGACGAAAAAGGGAAATTACATGAAGTGAATTTTATATCTGCAAAAATCATCTGCCCCGAGTGTATTAGTAACGGAAACAACGATTGTACTATTTGCGGAGAAGAACGAACTATAACCTTCTCCCACCAACCATTTTCCAACACTCAAGTCGATCAACAAAATGTTACTAATGATCC